ATGCGGAACGGGCTTCACTGCGTGAGAACGGGGCGAACGAGATCACAATCTTCGAGATTCCTCACTAGTACCAGGCTTTGTGAACCAACAGGGTGGAAACAAACAAACCGACTAACTCACGAAGCCCACAGCGACTCTCTTCATCCTGCCACCCCAGCTCCCCTGCAGCGATGTGGAGCAAACAAGTCAACTCTTTTCAAAAAACAAACAGGAGTAGGGCAGTCGAGGCGAGGGCAGAACATTCGCTGTGTTATGCTGTTGCCGCCGAATTCCTCGCACACCTCAAATATATTTTACAGTAATACAAAAATGCATGATTGATGAGTGATACCTGGGGTGCATTATTCAACGATACATTTCTTACAACCGATTTACATTCAACCCCCATCTTGTTCCCTCCTATCCCCCCACACCACCCCCACCCCCCCCCCCCCACACCCCCCCCCCGCCTGCCCTGCTGTTGTCCCTCTATCATTGTATAAAATTACATCATTTATTTTGTTATTTTTTAAACAGATTCAAACCTTTATTAGACTTACTGCGTTGTGCGGATTTTTCTTCAATTCTCCAGTGAGTAGGTTCCCCTGCATTTGTGTATGTGTGTGTTTCTGTTTGTGTCTGTTTGTGTGTCTGTATGTGTCTGTGTATGTGTGTATGTGTGTGTGTCTGTGTTTGTGTGTTGCGGCTTGTGTGTGTCTGTCTCTGTGTAGGTGTGTTGGGGCTTGTGTGTGTGTATATCTGTGTAGGTGTGTTGCGGCTTGTGTGTGTCTGTGTATTGGGGCTTGTGTGTGTGTGTGCGTGTCTTGGGGCTTGCGTGTGTGTTGGGGCTTGTGTGTGTGTGCGTGTGTCTGTGTGTTGGGGCTTGTGTGCGTGTGTGTTGGGGCTTGTGTGTGTGTGTGTGTTGGGGCTTGTGTGCGTGTATCTGTTGGGGCTTGTGTGTGTGTTGAGGCTTGTGTGTGTGTGTGTGTTGGGGCGTGTGTCTGTGTGTGTTGGGGCTTGTGCGCGTGTGTGTTGGGGCTTGTGTGTGGGTTGGGGCTTGTGTGTGTGTGTGTTGGGGCGTGTTTCTGTGTGTGTTGGGGCTTGTGTGCGTGTGTGTTGGGGCTTGTGTGTGTGTGTGTTAGGGCTTGTGTGCGTGTATCTGTTGGGGCTTGGGTGTGTGTTGGGGCTTGTGTGCGTGTGTCTGTGTGTGTTGGGGCTTGTGTGTGTGTGTGTTGGGGCTTGTGTGTGTGTGTGTGTGTGTGTTAGGGCTTGTGTGCGTGTATCTGTTGGGGCTTGTGTGTGTGTTGGGGCTTGTGTGCGTGTGTCTGTGTGTGTTGGGGCTTGTGTGTGTGTGTTGGGGCTTGTGTGTGTGTGTGTGTGTGTGTGTTGGGGCTTGTGTGTGTGTGTGTGTGTTGGGGCTGTGTGTGTGTGTGTGTGTGTGTGTTGGGGCTTGTGTGTGTGTGTGTCTGTGTGTTAGGGCTTTTGTGTGCATTGGCCGGTGGCGACATGATATTTTGAGAGTATCTTTCTATCGACTTGTGGGCTGATCACAGCGACCACTTCTCTCCATCTCTCTCCCTCTCTCTCGGCCGAGCCCAGGAAAACAATTTCAGGGAGTGATCTGTCTTCTGCTCCTCAGAAGAAAACACAACCCAGAACCTTTTTCTCCCTCCCTCCCTCCCTCCCTCCCTCCCTCCCACAAAGGCTCAGGATTTAGATTCTTTTCGTCTCACAATCCAGTTTTCACAAAATAAAACCCAAAATCCGTAAAGATCGTGTATTTGGAGGGGCTTTAATTACACGTTCCTCTCACCTGTAACGAGGTGTAATTGTTGCCGTTTGTAAGTTTAGCATCGATTTCCGTTCCCAATGGGATCAGAGGAATCTTTTTGATACACAGGTGTTATATAATTATTTAACCAGTCGATTGCCATCATTCAGTGCTATTTGGACACTGTTACAAGATGTGCATTCAGGAATCGCTTCCCGAAGGGAACAAGTCGAACAAACAATCAATCTATACAGAGCGCTCCCCTGGTTATGCGGGAACCATAACTTAAGAAAGAGGGTTAAAAAACAATGGCTAAAACTTTTAGCATCTCGTCCCTGGCATTAATAAGCTTCACCTTCCCTTCTATACCCGTGAATAATATTCATAATCACTGAAAATTTGGTCACGTTAAAATTTCAGACAAATTCCCCCTTGTCCCGCTATTTGCCTTAACCTTTCACCCACTCGTGAAAACGGTTCTAGTTTTTTTTTGAGCCAAACAAAAAGCCTTCACAGGTTCATTTTATCAGCCCGTCGCTGCGCGCAAACCGGCCGTCGCATTCGCCTACGCAACGCACGGTCATTTCGATGTGCAGTAAAATCCCGCGGGTTCGCTTTGAGACGTCCTGCCGACGTGATAAAGCGCAGTAAAGAATGCGAGCACCAGGATATTACCGAGGGACGCGATGCTGCTCTTTACCATTACGTTCAAGGGGAAACCGAGATCAGGAGCTTTGCGAACGCTTAAAAGCTCGGAAAAAGACCCTGCTGTTTTAAAAAAAAACCACTAACGCGTTGTTAAAATCCTGTGTGAGAGGCGCTACGTAAACACAAGTCGTTAAAATTCGGCCATTGGTTTGTCTGAAGTTAGCGTAGAAATGAAAGGGACAGCATGTTCCACTGACACACGGAGACCCCGGACCTCTGTACAATCCCTTCTCTTGGCTCCTACGAAAACCCAAGTCTAAACCGTGTGAACTGATCTAAAACAGAACCGACACTTTTTACAGTACAATATAATATGCAATTGAAACAAGAGAACCGAGCACACGGGTGATGTACTACGTGTGCAGTTTCTTGTAAGCATGCAGCGTATTACAGGACACGGCAGGGAAAAGCTAACACTCCGCAGAAACCCCCATGTCTCAGGGTCAGACTCCACCAATGTCGAGCTCTCCTGGATGCTGCCTCGCGTGAAGGGGGCTGTATAAAATGCAAGTTGTTGTTGTTGTCGTCGTTGTTGTTGCGTGCTGGCGATTGGAGGAGGTAGGGTGTGAGAATGGGGCTCGCTGGCTGGTGATTGGAGAGGGGGTGTGAGACTGGCTGCTGATTGGAGCAGAGGGCGTGCGAGAATGGGGCTCGCTGGCTGGTGATTGGAGGAGAGGGTGTGTGAGATTGGTTGGTTATTGGAGGAGAGGGTGTGTGAGAATACGGCTCGCTAGCCCCTGATTGGAGGAGAATGGGTGCGAGGATGGGGCTCCCTGGCTGGTGATTGGAGGAGAGGGCGCGTGAGACTGGTTGGTGATGGGAGGAGAGAGGGCGCGTGAGACTGGTTGGCGATGGGAGGAGAGAGGGCGTGTGAGACTGTTTGGCGATTGGAGGAGAGAGGGCGCGTGAGACTGGTTGGCGATTGGAGGAGAGAGGGCGCGTGAGACTGGTTGGCGATTGGAGGAGAGAGGGCGCGTGAGACTGGTTGGCGATTGGAGGAGAGAAGGCGCGTGAGACTGGTTGGCGATTGGAGGAGAGAGGGCGCGTGAGACTGGTTGGCGATTGGACGAGAGAGGGCGCGTGAGACTGGTTGGCGATTGGAGGAGAGAGGGCGCGTGAGACTGGTTGGCGATTGGAGGAGAGAGGGCGCGTGAGACTGGTTGGCGATTGGAGGAGAGAGGGCGCGTGAGACTGGTTGGCGATTGGAGGAGAGAGGGCGCGTGAGACTGGTTGGCGGTTGGAGGAGAGAGGGCGCGTGAGACTGGTTGGCGATTGGAGGAGAGAGGGCGCGTGAGACTGGTTGGCGATTGGAGGAGAGAGGGCGCGTGAGACTGGTTGGCGATTGGAGGAGAGAAGGCGCGTGAGACTGGTTGGCGATTGGAGGAAAGAGGGCGCGTGAGACTGGTTGGCGATTGGAGGAGAGAGGGCGCGTGAGACTGGTTGGCGATGGGAGGAGAGAGGCGCGTGAGACTGGTTGGCGATTGGAGGAGAGAGGGCGCGTGAGACTGGTTGGCGATTGGAGGAGAGAGGGCGCGTGAGACTGGTTGGCGATTGGAGGAGAGAGGGCGCGTGAGACTGGTTGGGGATTGGAGGAGAGAGGGCGCGTGAGACTGGTTGGCGATTGGAGGAGAGAGGGCGCGTGAGACTGGTTGGCGATTGGAGGAGAGAGGGCGCGTGAGACTGGTTGGCGATTGGAGGAGAGAGGGCGCGTGAGACTGGTTGGCGATTGGAGGAGAGAGGGCGCGTGAGACTGGTTGGCGATTGGGGAGAGAGGGCGCGTGAGACTGGTTGGCGATTGGAGGAGAGAGGGCGCGTGAGACTGGTTGGCGATGGGAGGAGAGAGGGCGCGTGAGACTGGTTGGCGATGGGAGGAGAGAGGGCGCGTGAGACTGGTTGGCAATGGGAGGAGAGGGCGCGTGAGACTGGTTGGCGATTGGAGGAGAGAGGGCGCGTGAGACTGGTTGGCGATTGGAGGAGAGAGGGCGCGTGAGACTGGTTGGCGATTGGAGGAGAGAGGGCGCGTGAGACTGGTTGGCGATGGGAGGAGAGAGGGCGCGTGAGACTGGTTGGCGATGGGAGGAGAGAGGGCGCGTGAGACTGGTTGGCGATGGAGAGAGAGGGCGCGTGAGACTGGTTGGCGATTGGAGGAGAGAGGGCGCGTGAGACTGGTTGGCGATTGGAGGAGAGAGGGCGCGTGAGACTGGTTGGCGATTGGAGGAGAGAGGGCGCGTGAGACTGGTTGGCGATTGGAGGAGAAAGGGAGCGTGAGACTGGTTGGCGATTGGAGGAGAGAGAGCGTGGAGAATGGGGCTCGCTGGCTGGTGATTGGAGGAGACGGTGCGTGCAAGAGTGCACTAGGTAGGCTGCTGATAAACTTGACATTATCTGAGTGAACGTCTCCTTCACGAATGGCGTTGTTTCTCTCACAAACAAACGTGTGCTATTGTATATGACAGTATTACCTTTGGCTTTCCGTGTCCCGTAATTTAAAATCTCGTCACCGTGTGTTTTTTTTTTTTTTTTTGAGTTCGATTTACGAGAGCGTTCTTTTTTTTTTAAAAATGTCATCGTTTCTCTCTTTTTTTTTTAAAGGAATAGAAAAAACAATCTCTTCGGAATCTTATCCAAATAGTTACAATAAGCAATCTGTGTCATCACCATCCACATGCAGTTTTAAAGCTAAAACCTTGTGTGACGTACAGTAGAAAAGTCCAACTCCAATGTGGATTCAGGAGTCCAAAGGGTTTAAACGTAGCTGGGGATCTCTTTTGTGCTCTCAGTTTCAGATACGGTCGGGTTGTTTCCTGCAAGGGGGGGAAGACGGGAAATGGTGTATCAAATTTAAACAAGATCGAAAAAAGTAATAATAATAATGCTTCTATTTGACATAGAACCTTGTCACGTCGCGGAGATGTCTCAAAGCGCTTCACAGAATATACTTTAAAGTGAATTGTCGGCAGATTGCGGTAGCGAATTGTGCACAGCAGCGTCCCACAACCAGTCGGGGGATTAAGTGACCAAATTATTATTTATTTGGAGAGATTATTACCCCAGGAAAGCAATCAGCCAATCCACTAACAACCAGGTTCCTACTTACTACGAGGTAAACAGAGACATGTGGAGTAAGAAAACTTGCCGAGGTCGTCCCCCTGCCCGGGAATTGAACCCGGGTCCTCTTGCTTGCGAGGCGAGTGCTCAAACTGCTAAACTACAGGATTCCACTTCCCCTTCCCCCATCTCCACTGTGTTCCTGATGTGTGTTGTTTGGTGGTGATTTTCTACGTGAAGCCCTGAACCCCACGATTGAGTTCCCTCCAGAGTCTTGTCCATTCACATGGATACTCTGCCTCTACTCACCTGGTGCCCTCAGCGGCCATTCCTCTCTTGTGCTCCCTCCAACTTGGTGGATAAGGCTGCTTAGAGCACTGGAAAACACATTTACACATCAGTTTGCTTTCAGCTTGCAGCTTGCACCATACGCTCTCGTTCAAGTGACAATTTGCCTCAATTCTGAGGGTGGTGGGGAGGGGAAGAGGGGAGGATTCGAGGAGGGGAGGAGTAGGGGAGGTGGCTTAACCCAGATCCCATCCCCTTGGCCTAACACTATGCTCAGGTTGCCTTTCAGTTCATATACCCATTAGTGTCCATAACTTCACCTGGAAAAAATACAATGGGGAGCGGGGGTGAAATCATATTGAATCATAGAATGTTACGGCACAGAAGGAGGCCATTCGGCCCATCGAGTCTGTGCGGCTCTTTGACAGAGCAACTGACTTTTATTAACCCCACTCACCAGCTTTCTCCCCATAACCCTGCAAACCCGTCTTCCCCAGATACCTATCCAGTTCTCTCTTAAAAGCTGTTATCGAATCGGACTTTGCTGCCCTTTCAGGCAGATCATTCCAAATTCTAACAACTCGCTGAGTGAAAAAATTTCTTCTAACCTCCCCTCTGCTTCTTTTGGTAGATATCTTAAGACTGTGACCACGAGTCACAGACACACCTACCAGCGGAAACAGCTTTTCCCTATCTCGCCTGTCGAAACCTTTCATGATCTTGAAGACCTCTATCAGGTCCCCGCGTAACCTTCTCTGCTCTAATGGGAAAAGTCCTAACTTTTCCAGCCTGTCCTCATAGCTAAGCTTCCCCATTCCTGGTATCATTCTCGTGAATCTCCTCTGCACCCTTTCCAGTGCCTTAATGTCCTTCCTGAGGTAAGGTGCCCAGAACTGGACGCAGTACTCCAGCTGAGGCCTAACCAGTGTTTTGTACAGATTAAGCATAACCCCTACTCTTATACTCTATGCCCTACTAATGAAGCTCAGTACACCAAATGCCCTTTTTACTGCCCTATCTACCTGCTCTGCCACCTTCAATGAATCGCTTACTTGAACGCCCAGATCTCTCTGTACGTTCACCCCCTTAAGATTGAGCTCCTGAGCCTTTATTGCCTCCTATCATTTTTCCTACCTAAGTGTATCACCTCGCACTTATCTACATTGAAATCCATCTGCCACATGTCAGCCCATTCCACCATTCTGTGTATGTCTGCCTGCAGTCCGTCACAATCTTCTTCACTATTTACTACCCTACCTAACTTGGTATCATCTGCAAACTTGGAAATAGTGCTCCCTATGCCCAAGTCCAGATCATTAATATATATTAGAAAGAGCAGTGGTCCCAATACCGATCCCTGGGGGACACCGCTGCACACCTCCTTCCATTGTGAGAAACACCCATTAACCACCACCCTCTGCTTTCTGTCACTCAGCCAGTTCCTAATCCAAACGGCTACTGTCCCCTTAATACCGTGGGCCTCCAGTTTTTTTATTAACCTCTTATGCGGTACTGTGTCAAAAGCCTTTTTAAAATCCATGTAAATAATGTCCACCGCATTTCCCTCATCAACCCTCACAGTCACCTCTTCAAAAAAATTCTATTAGATTTGTTAGGCAAGATTTGCCTTTAACAAATCCATGTTGGCTGTCTCTAATTACCTCGTGTTCCTCGAAGTAGAGATTTATTCTGTCCCGGATTACGGTCTCCAGTAGCTTTCCTATTACCAAAGTTAGGCTGACTGGCCTGTAATTTTTGGGCTTGTCTTTCTGCCCCTTTTTGTAGAGTGGGGTAACATTAGCCACTCTCCAGTCTCTTGGCACCACTCCTGTGTCCAATGACGATTGAAATATAATGGCCAAAGCCTCTGCTATTTGAACCCGTATCTCCCACAGCAACCTTGGGTGAAACCCATCTGGTCCTGGTGACTTATCAATTTTGAGTCCAGTCAATCTTTTCAGAACTTCCTCTCTGTCTATAGTAATCTGATCTATGTCCTCTACTCTGTCATCCAATACTGTAGCATTTGGGGCATCCGTTTCCGTTGTGAAGACAGATGCAAAGTACTCGTTCAGTACATCAGCCTCCACAACAAGATTGCCGTCATTGCCTTTGATTGGCCCCACCCTACCTTTAACTAACCTTTTTTCCTTTATGTGCTTATAAAATATTTTCGGATTCCCCTTTATGTTACCCGCTAACCTTTTCTCATGCGATCTTTCAGCCTATCTTATCGCTCTTTTAAGATCACTCCTGCATTCTCTATAATGCGCTTTGCTATCCTCAGTGTGTTAAATCATTACCGAGCCCCCAAATGTGCCTTCACACCAACCGAATGAAGTCAAAAGCCATCTATAGACCACAGCGGAGGATAAGCTCAACTCACAACTCCACCCCACTCCCCCCATCACACAATGGTTGTTCTCAGCAATATTGGCCAATGGTGTGTCTGGTCTATTGGGCGTCATTTCAAGAGATGTCGGCTTCATTTTGCTGAGGTGGTGGGGGGGGACAGGGGTGAAGAGGTCGGTGGGGAGGTGTTGGGGGCTCGGTAATGATTTAACATCTGAGCAGTCACAGTAATGCCATAATCTGCTGCCTGACCACGAGTCTGGCTTGTAGGGGAACAGCAGAACCGGGTGCTTTCAGAGGAGAACCCCCCAACCCCCCACCACATCAATCTACTCCACCCACCCCCCCTCCACTCCACCCACCTCCCCCTCCACTCCCAGAAGAATAATCAGGCTCTCCTTGTCTACCACCTCTCACCCCACACCCCCAAATGATCAGGGGGAAGAATGTTGGATAGTTTGGGACATGACATGTGCAAGCGATTGCCAGTATGGTGGAAGGTGAACTCGATGGACCTTGGTTTTCTTTCGTCTAGCAATTCCTATGTTCTTGTGAGGAGAGGACGGTGGGGATGGATGGATGGATGGATGGATGGTGTGATGGAAAGAGTAGGGGGTGGTGTGTGTATGTGTGTGGGGGTGGGTGGGGTGGAGAACGGGCCTCAAAGGGCAAGTCCATAATCCTGTAAAATTTGTGGGTAGGCAAAATTGGTGAGGGAGCAGGAAGGGTATGAATATAAAGTCAATTTGTGTTCCTAAATTTGAGTGTTTTTTTGGGGGGAGGCGGGGGTGGTTTGTTGGCGTCTGTTAGGTTTACGGTCATTTGTACTGAACAGTAGAACCAGAGCACACAGCCTGTGATTGAAGGGTGGGGGTAACTGCGGAAACACTACTTCAGGGAGCGAGTGGTAAACCTATGGAACAGGCTCCCTAGAGAGACGGTGGAAGCAGAAAGTGTTGTTTGTTTCAAGAACAAATTAGATTTCGTCGAGAAAATAATACCTCAGGATACAGTATATAGTCTATACGACATGTCAAGCGACTGCCAAGTTGGTGGAAGGTGAACTAGTTGGACCTTCCTTCGACTAGCAAATTCTTATGTTCTTATTTGGATTTAATTATTTACCTAAGTGCAGTTTGTCAACCTCAGCATCAGTGAACTCCTCTGGGCAGGTTATTAAATCTCTTTGGGTGACGGTGGGAATGACCTCAATTTGAGTGTCTGCGTTTATCATCTCCTCTTCCTTCTCATTGTGCACCTGGGCATAAACATTAATGCCCGGTATCTTCCTGCACAAAACGACACAGAGCCAATTAAAGGAAAAAAAAGACACCACCGGAGATTTCCTGTGTGTTAATCTGCGAATCCCAGAGGCTGCATGGGGGTGGGTGTTAGCGTTTTAGTAAGGGGAGCAACAGACAGACAGGTGTCTGCTTTGGGTAAGCTTTACGTTTTGTATATTGGAGTGTTTTTGAAAGGAGTGTTTTTTCCTTCTTTTAATGAGGATAATAATCCTTGCATTTGATACAACATCCTATCATGTCTTCGAGACTCTCAGAGCGCTTCACAGGATGTATTATAAAGTGAATTGACATATATTTCGTGGACAAAAAGTGGCAGCCAATTGCGCACAGCAGTGTCCCACAAACAGTCGTGGGTTGAAGTGAATTTTTATTTATTTATTTATTTGGAGGGACTATTACCCCCGGAAAAGTGTTTCGCCAATCGACTAACAAGTGGGTTCCTACTTACTAATAATCCTTACATTTCGTACAGCACCTTTCAGGCCAGGATCAAATCCCAAAATGCTGGATTAGTCAAGGAGTGTGAGTGTTTGTGGAGTCACACTTGCGATGCAGCCTTTTGCTATTGAGCCCCTCCATCATCACCGGTGACAAGTGTCACATCATACAGCGCAGTTTTCATCCCTTTGTTCCTAATGTGAACAGCTATAAGTATTGAGAGTCTTCCAGGCTCCATGTACGAGGGGGTGAGGCAGGCTGGCGGGAGAACGACGGACAGATTGGAAGGTGTCAAGGGCTGCTCGTGGGCTCTGTCATTCCGCTCCCACATTAATGAATTCAATGTCACGTGGACAGAGACGTTTGGGACTAACCTCAGGGTTGACTTGGAATAACAGCAATGGTTAAAGGAGGGAGAGTTGAGGGAGATTGTTGTCAGGCGGGTTAGTTCGAAAGTAAATGATTGTGTTAAGCCCTAGCCCTAGCTCTTTCTCGCCCCCACACCACCCCTCCTCCCTCCTTTACCCCCCCCCCACGCGCCCCACCATCACACACACCCTCCCCAAGGTCCTAATGGGCTGCCAAGGATAATGGCAGAACTGCTGGGAGGTGGGAGCAGTCAGACATTATGGGGTAGTGACAAAACTAACCTCAGCTGAAGGTAGATGTGAGTGAGGTTAAAGGCAGTATTAGTACGTCAGACCAGCTAGGACAGGAAGTGTGAAAGGAAAGCAAGAGGCAATTGGAGTATTTGACTGAAGCAAAGCTCTCTTTTCTTCCTCTTCCCCCACCCCTTTCCCCTCCCTCGCTTCCCACCCCCTCTAATCCGCGAGATTACAGCGCTTGTGGGGTTAAATCCGCGGTTCCACATCCCCAAGACAAACAAATTTACTTCCTCCAAACACACAAAAAACACACGAGTACGAAATTAACTGCAACACAAATGTTAAAAAGATAATTTGCTATAGGTTGTAACCTCTATTATTCACAACACATTCTATTTTCTTTAAACACCCAGACAGGCCTGAAATTCCACCTGGTCTCAGCCCGCAAGACCGTTCTGCCTTAAAATCCAGTCTTAATTTGGAAGTTGGATTTTTTTTTTAAGTGCGGAAAAAAAACGTCTTCCAAAGTAAGACTCCCAGATTTCAAGGGACGATCTGGACAATCTTACATTTTTAAGACATAATTGCCTCCAATGCTCTAAGATGTTATCTTAAATGAAGGCCACTATATAAATGTGAGTTCCTGTTTGTCGTTGTTGTTATTGTCTCGCGGGCTAAGACCGGGTGAAATTTTGGGCCTTGGATGTAGGGGCGATGTACATGGTCAATAATGTCATGGAGATGATCCTTGGGGGTTGTTTATAGAGGCCTATAGATGGGAACACTTACCCTTTTTCTCTCCGTGCCACATAGCGCGTGAATCTGCTTAAGTGCACTATGGAAAACCGTCGACAGTAAAACTTACAAAAGTCGTATCAGTCGGGGCCATAACATTTAATATGACTTACGCGAAGTCCGAGTTGCAAGCAAACTGTACAAGTCATATATAATCCTGTTTAATCAATAACCTGCAGTGTGCACGTGTAATTGATTGCAGCCGGTAAGTGCAGGAGTAATGGAGGGTAGTGGAGCAGTGTGATGAGTTAGGACTAGTGCAAAGAAGTCTAAGTGGTTTCGATAGAAAACTGAATGGGACTCAGGTGAATGTATGACTTAGGCGATTGTACAATTTATGAAGATAAGACTTTTGCGAGTTTTACTGTATATACGTGGATGAATAGGGCGGCCCCATTATATATAATGGGTGTTGGTGTGGTGTGGATCACTCTTACAGCACAGCCATAACCGAGACCCGCGGGACACAGGAAGTATTGCTTCCGGCGCTGACCAGCTTTGCTTCCAATGAGCGGACAACGGTTCGGAGCCTGCGGATGGTAATGACGCATTGTACCAGGGCCGACACGTACTCGGTCATGACGAGCACGCAATTGTGAATTACGAGACAACACTTGCCACGTGGAGTCACGGTGGTGAGACCTACCTTTTAAACTTGTAAATGACAAACACAGCCAGGCCCACGAAGGCCAAGGACAGCAGCATCAGCAGGGCAGAGCCACTGTGTCCTGGGCTGGAGTCCACCAGCGGCGCTGCAAACAGCAAAGACACCACAGATTTGTTTCTTCAGCCAATTTTGCTCACAGACACACCCCACGCAAACAACCACAGAGCCAATGACTAATTTTATTCGGCTGCATCTGGGGTTGCGCTGTCGAGCTACCCGCCTAAGCGCACTTCATACATGACTCGAGACAAGATGGGACGAATAGCCTTCTTCTGCCCTATAAGTTTCTAAGCCCATGAGGGCCTTTCAGCAAACCATTCAAAAGCTGAGCAAAGATTGGCATTAACTTTTAGCCACCTTGTGCTATTGCTTAATTAATAATCGCCAACCTTGCATTTGATAGCGTGCCTTTCATGTCAGGCGGACTACTCAAAGCACTCCGCGAGATTTGCTGTGAAATGCACATTTTCAAGACTGAGGTGGATAGATGTTTGTTAGGTCAGGGTATCAAGGGATATGGGGTGAGGGCGAGTAATTGGAATTGAGGTTCAGATCATCCATGATCTTATAGAGTGGTGGGACAGGTTCTATGTTTCTATATTTATTGGGGGAGGCCTTTCATGGAGGGAGGACGTCTCAAAGCGTTTCACAGGATAAAGGTTGAGTATGTTGTTGGGGAATGTGGCAGTTAATTTTGCGCATAGCAACGTCTGACACAAACAGCCACAAAGTGAATGATCAATTTTATTGGTGGTGGTGGGGGGGGCGGGTTGGGGGTGGAGGCTATTGAGCTACCCACCTACCTAGTGTGAGATGAGCGGTGGAAATGATGACTTGAATGCCGGGTTTCAGTTCAAACTGCACCTGGTTCTGATTTAACATGCTGATCACCATGTCGCAAATCTGTGACAATAATAATGAATAACAGTAATCCTTGCATTTGATACAGAACCTCATCACATTGTTGAGACGTCTCAAAGCGCTTCACAGAATATACTGTAAAATGGACTGAATATTTTGTGGGTAAAACATAGCAGCACACAGCAGTGTCCCACAAACAGCTGTGGATTGAGTGACCAATTTTTTTTAAGGGATCATTACCTTCAGAAAGCGATCCGCCAATTGACTAACAAACAGGTGGTGTAAAGGAAACTTGCCTAAGCTTTCGTCCTGCTCGGGAATTGAACCCGGGTCTTCTCGCTTGCGAAGGCGGCGAGCTAACCGCTACATTACAGGGCTCCACAAATGGTGGAGTGTGTGTGCGTGGGGGGNAGGAATATTGTTTGATCAGTCCGCCATTGGCAACCCCGGAACAAAAATATGGGGGGCTCCGAATACGCGCGCAAAAACGGAATTGCAACTGAACAAATCTTGGGTCTCACCTGATCCAGATCCGCGCTGCTCCTCCTGTGCTCTGGGTCTTCCCTGTGTGGCAGGAGGTGGAGCTCGGCGGCAGTGGGAAGACCAGGGAGCACAGCTGCCAACATCTGCTCCTCAGGCAAACCGGTGACCTGCACAACACAAAGCCACACCTTGTTTTATGGACCGTTGCCACCTCCGCGGGCAGAGGGACCAGAATTCCACCTTGCTTTAGCCAGTGAGGCCTTGTTAGCATTCATTTTCAGATGGCGGCTGATTTGCATGGACATGATCACCAGATTAGTTCTGATGAAGAAGGTCCACCCGATCTCATCCCACCAGAACACCTGCCCTACCGTCCCCCATCACAGCATCAAACTGCTTTTCTTTTTGCTCAGTCGGATGTCGGACACACGCGGAAACCTATCACCGTTGCTTAAGAGTATCCAAACCAAGCTGAGAATTCCATACATCCTACACATGGAAATCCCAGAGATAGATTGTTGGAATGGATGCACACAATCTCTTCCTGGAGGGAAACATCCTGCTAACCTAATTCTGGAGGGTATTAAGCGCAGGTTGGCAACTGTGTAGTGTTCACTTTTGGGCACCACACTTTAGGAACAATGTCCAGGCATTGGAGGGGGTGCAAAGGAGATTTACCAGGATGGTAACAGGAATGAGTGATTTCAGTTATGAGGAGAGATTAGAGAAACTAGGATTATTCTCCTTGGAGCAGGGAAGGTTAAGAGGAGACTTCATAGAAGTTTTCAAAATTACGAGTGGATTTGATAGGGAGAACAAGGAGAAACTATTTCCACTGGCAGGTGGGTTGGTAACCCGAGGACACAGATTTAAAATAGTTGTTAAAAGAAACCGAGGGGAGGTGAGGAGAAACTTTTTCACACAGTGAGTTGTTCAGATCTGGAAATGCATTGCCTGAAAGGGCGTTGGAAGCCAATTCGATAACAACTTTGAAGAAAGAAGTAGATAATTATTTGGGAGGCCAAATTTGCAGGGCTCTGAGGAGAGCGCTGGGGAGCGGGATTGATTTGTATAGCTCTTTTCAAAGAGCCGGCACAGACACAATGGACTGAATGGCTTCCTTCTGTGCTGTAATATTCTATGATTCTATGAACTGCTGGTATCCAACCAACTAAAACCGCACAGCTTATCATAATCAAGCTGCTTTTAAAATGAGCTCCAGTGTCCTGGTCTCAACCAACCTTCCTGGAAACCCTGTTACAGTCGTTAGTTATCCTCTGGGTAAAGAAAAACATTCTGGCGTCTATCCTGAAATTGCCCTTTGTAACTCTAATCCCGTGTCCTCTTGTTCTACAGTCTCATTTGATAGCATTGTTCTGGGTTTACCGTTGCAATTTCAGTTAGGATGGTTACATACCTATATAAAGTCCTCCCTGAGTCATCTTCTGTGTGCAGACTGAAGTGCTCCCGTAGGTTGCCTAACATTGAATCGGTGAAAACTATGCAATCTGATCTCTCTCCGAATGCGCTCAATTAGCAGCAACTTTCAGATAATTCTCTTTTTCCGGGTTGTCTTTCACTTACCCGAGCCAGCGTTCTCTTGATCACTTTACTGAGATCCTGTCTCCATTCGGGGATGTCGGGATTGTAATCTTCCAAGTTTGGTGAAAATGACAACAGCAGCGAGCGATAATAATCTGCCGGTCAAAGGAGAGGGAACCTTTGGTTAATCGAGCTCCTGTTTTCTCTCTCTCTCCTCTGAATACCCACTCTCTTCCCCTCAACCACTCCCCTTTCCCCTGGTAGTGTTTGACGATATTTTTTTCCTTCTACTGGGGTCATCGTACTGGGCGTCCTCTGAGGATCTGAGTAAACGGCCATCAATGTCTGAGGCCATCAAGGTGCAGTACAAAATGGCCACCGACCAGTCACATCCTGGTCGCCGCTGACACCATATCCTGGTCGCCGCTGACACCATATCCTGGTCGCCGCTGATATCACTTCCTGCGAGCTACTTATGAGCGATATACATTGTAGCATCAGTAACTCTTCCTGCACAGAGCACTGCGCTCTGGGGCCCTGCCCTGCCTGAGCGGCGTCATATAAATGCAAATTGTTGTTGTTGGATTATTATTGTTACGACTGTGACCTCCTCACCAAACACGGCGATGCTCTTGACGTCCTGCAGGATGGAGTTGCCCGAGGACACCTGTACTGTGACGCTACTCATTCCCTCCCTGGTGAAGGTGAAGGAGACATTCTCCTCCAGGGTGACCACAGGCTGCGGACACCAAAGGCAACACGTCAGGAAACTACAGCCAATGAACAGCAATCACACTCACATGCAAGGATTATTATTATTATTATTCACACGCTCACACATACTCATTCACACACTTAAACACTCTCATACTCGCATTCACACCCTCACTCACACTTGCACAAACTGACTCACCCTCACATGCACTCACACGCCCTCACACTCATCACATGCTCACTCACACTCGCTCACCTCGCATTCTGACACACACACATACTCACAGAAACACTCGCTCACGCTAGCACAATTACGCACATTCGCCACACACTACACGTAGTGAAACGCGCGCTGTCAGCATCGTGCACAAACCTCGGTCTTGTTCTCGAGCCACCAGTAGTAAGTGAGGGTGCCCAGTTTGCTGGGCCACACCACCACTGTCAGGTTGACCGGCTGGTTGGTTATGGCCACGTAGGGGAGCGTCAGGTGCACGTGCTCGACGGGACCTGGGGAGGAAACCGGTAGAGAAAGCACTCATTTTCTCACTAATATCTCAGAACTCTTCACACTGATATCTCGCCTCATCTTCAACCTCTCCATCCAACCCACAAGATTAAGTCTAACCCAGGCTGACACTCTAGTGGAGGGAGTGTGTTTCATTGCTGGAGGTGACGGCCTTCGATCAGACTTTAAACCAAAATTGCTGCGATCGCTTATAACCACAGTCACTGCGCTTTACAGTAAATACGGTGAAGCACCTTGAGACGTCTCTACATGAGCGAACACAGCAGCCATTTGCGCAGAGTCAGAGACCAATTTTATTTTGGGGGATTGTTGGCCATGACACCGGGAGAGAGAAACTCCCTTCTCTTTTCAAATAATGCCATGGGATCTCTAACGTCCGCCTGAACAGGCAAACAGGACCTCGGTTCAATGTCTCATGTGCAAGACAGCATCTTTGACAATGCAACACCTCCCCCACACCCCCCCAATACTGCATTGGAGAATCAGCTTAGACTACGTGATTCCAAGTCCCGACATGGGGTTTAAACCCACAATAAGAACATAAGAATTTGGAGCAGGAGTAGGCCATTCAGCCCCTCGAGCCTGTGCCCCGCTATTCGATAAGATCATGGCTGATCTTCAGACCTAACTCTAATTACCTGCCCTATCCCCATATCCCCTAATCCCTCTATTTTTTAAAAATCTATCAGTCTCAGCCTTGAAGATGCTCAAGGACTGAGCATCTACAGCCTTCTGGGACAGTGAATTCCATAAATTCACTACCCTCTGAGTGAAGAAATGTTTCCTCAACTCTGTTCTAAAAGGCTGACCCTTAATTTTCAGACTGTGACCCCTGGTTATAGATTCTCCTACCAGGGGAAACAGACCCTCAGTGTCTACTTTATCAGCCCTTTAAGAATCTTATATGTCTCAATAAGATCTCCCCTAATTCTTCTGTGCTCTAGAGAATACAGCCCTAGTTTATTCAGCCTTCCTCATAGGTCAGTCCCCTCATCCCAGGAACTAACCGAGTGAATCTACGCTGCACCCCCTCTGGGGCAAGTATGTCCTTTTTTAAATAAGGAGACCAAAACTGCACACAATACTCCAGGTGCGGTCTCACCAAAGCCCTATACAGTTGCAGCAAGACTTCCCTACTCTTGTACTCTAAACCTTTTGCAATGAACGTTAACATGCCCTTCGCCTTCTTAGTTGCTGCTGCACCTGCAAACTAACTTTTTGAGACTGGTGTACAAAGACACCCAAATCCCTCTGAACACTAACACTATCTAATCTCTCCCCCTCTAGAAAATAATCTGTTTTTCTACCTAGGTGAATAACTTCACACTTCCCCACATTAAATTCCATCTGCCACCTACTCGCCCACTCCCCTCGCCTATCTATATCCCGTTGCAATCTTTTTGCATCATCCTCAGAGCTTACCCTCCCACCTAGTTTAGTGTCATCCGAGAACTTAGATACGTTACATTCAATGTCCTCGTCTAGATCATTGATGTAAATAGCTGAAGCCCAAGCACTGATCCTTGTGGCACTCCACTAGTCACATCCTGCCAATTCGAGAATGACCCGTTTATCCCTACTCTCTGTTTTCTACCCGTTAGCCACTCTTCAATCCATGCTAATATGTTCCCATTAATCCCGTGGGCCTTATCCTTGTACAATAGCCTTTTGTGTGGCACTTTGTCAAATGCCTTTCTAAATATACTATATCTACTGGTTCCCCCCTGGCCACCCTGCTAGATACATCTTCAAAAAACTCTAAAAGATTAGTTAAGCATGACTTCCCTTTTGTAAAGCCATGTTGACTCTGTCTAATCTTGTTATGGTCTTCCAGGAATCCCATAACGACATCTTTAATTAAGGACTCAAGAATTTTCCCTACCACTGATGTCAGACTAACTGGTCTATAGTTCCCCATCTTTTCTCTCCCACCCTTCTTAAATAGTGGTGTTACGTTTGCAATCTTCCAATCAATGGGAACCGTTCCAGAATCCAGAGAATTTTGGAAGATCAAAGACAAGCCATCCACTATCTCAGTAGCCACCTCTTTTAAAACCCTAGGATGTAGGCCATCAGGTCCAGGAGATTTATCAGTTTTAAGACCTGACAATTTACCTAAAACCATTTCTTTACTAATATTAATTCCCCAAGTTGCTCGCTAACATTTCTTCTTGGTTCCCCTCTATTCTTGGTAGGTTTTCAGTGTCTTCTAAGGTGAAGACAGTAGCAAAGTACTTGTTTAATGACTCTGCCATGTCTTTGTCCCCTACTATAATTCCCCCCGTCTCTGCCTGTAGCGGACCCACATTTACCTTTGACAGCCTCTTCCTCTTTATATATTTATAAAAACTCTTGCAGTCTGTCTTTATGTTCTTCGCTAGTTTGCCCTCATATTCCATTTTCTCCCTCTTAATCACTTTTTTGGTTCTCCTTTGTTGATCCCTAAAGTTCTCCCAATCCTCGGGTTTACTACTCATCTTAGCTGTTTTATAGGCTTCTTCCTTTAACTTTATACTTTCCCTAACTGCTCTAGTTAGCCACGGTTGGGCCACCTTTCCCGTGGCATTCTTATTCCTCAAAGGAATACGTGCTCGCTGGGAATTTTGCACTATCTCCTTAAACGTCTGCCATTGCTGGTCTACTGTCAAATCCTTAAGTCTAATTTCCCAGTTTATTTTGGCTAAATCCTCTCTCATACCAGCAAAATTGGCTCTACTTAAATTTAAAATCTTTGCTTCGGATTTAACTACCTCTCTCTCTAACTTAGTGCTAAATTCCATCATATTATGATCACTTTGCCCTAGAGGAGCCTTAATTTCCAGTTTGCTGATCAGCCCTGCTTCATTGCACAAAACAAGGTCTAATATGGCCTGTTCCCTGGTTGGCTCCTCGGCATACTGATCTAGATAATTATCCCTAATACATTCTATAAACTCTTCCTCTATCATACTTTTCCCAATTTGGTTGTCCCAATCTATGTGCAGATTAAAATCACCCACAATTAATGTTTTTCCTCTACTACATGCTCTGCTAATTTCCTGATTTATACCTTGAGAGATACTGTGACTGCTGTTCGGGGGTCTATAAACTACTCCCACTAGAGTTTTCTGCCCCTTGTTGTTACGTACCTCTACCCATACTGACTCTACTTCCTGCTTTTCTGATTTAAAATCTTTCCTCTCTACTGTTTTTATCCCATCCTTTATTAGCAGGGCCACCCTCCCTCCTCGTTTACCACATTGCCTATCTTTCCTATACACCACGTACCCTGGAATATTTAGCTCCCACCCTTGATCTCCCTGTAACCATGTCTCGGTGATGGCTACCAGATCATACCCGTTTGTTTCTATTTGTGCATTTAACTCATCTATCTTGTTTCGAATGCTTCGCGCATTCAGATATAGCACCTTTAATTCTGACTTCGGGCTATTAGTCCTATTCACCAGTACCCTATCCCTGGGCTTCCTTTCCCCGCTTGACACACTTTGCTCATCTCCCTGGTTAATCTGCTCTCCCACTTTCATCGGTCCTAATTTTAATTGTGACGGATTACATGTGATTGAATTTACCCCCCCCCCCTTAGTAGTTTAAAGCCCTGTCTACCTCCCTATTTATTCGTGTTGCCAGGACATTTGTCCCAGCCCTGTTTAGGTGGAGTCCATTCCTTTGGAATAGCTCCTGTCTCCCCCAATACTGGTGCCAGTGGCCTATAAAGTGAAACCCCTGCCCTCCGCACCATTCTTTTAGCCAGGTATTCAGTTCTTTAATTTTTTTTTGCCTGTACCAATTTGCCCCTGGCTCAGGTAATAATCCCGAGATTAATACCTTCAAAGTTCTACTCTTTAGCTTAACTCCTAATTCCTGGAATTTGCTCCTCAACTCATCCCTACCTACATTCCCTATGTGAATCATAACTATTGGATCCACTCCCTCCTGCTTCAAATTTTTCTCCAGCCCAGAAATGACTTCCTTCACCCTGGCCCCAGGAAGGCCACAGAGTCTTCTTGTCTCCCTGCTACGGCTGCAGAAATGTGCGTCAGTCTTCCTGACTGTCTCATCCCCAATTACCACTACATTCCTTCTGACTATTCCCAGTGTGGCCTCCTGTATAGAGGTGTTGGGGTAAGTTTGCCCATCTTCCTCACAGACTTCCTTGTCCACACAGGTTGCAAGTATTTCATACCTTTTGGATAAGGTTAAAGCCTGGGGTTCCTCTATCCCTCTCTTTCGGGTCCCCTTACACACCTGTCTGACCATCACCCAGTCCTGTCCGTGGCTGGCAACGGAATGTTCCCTGGGACTCGTGGGAGTGTCTGGCTCCAGGATGAAACTATCCAGGGAGCTCTCCCCATCTCTAATGCTGCGCAGTGTCTCCACCTAAGACTCCAGCTCAGCTATTCTAAGCTGGAGCTTCCTCAGTTGCAGACATTTGCTGCAGATGAAGTCGCCCAGGCTCAGGTTGCCCTCCATCAACTACCATGTTCCTCACACATCACCTACCAGGTCATTCTCTCCTCTCACTATATTTATCCCTGTATTATTGTCGTTTAGAAGATATACTTCCCCCTCTGCACCTAATGTAATTTAGAATTAACACCTAATCAAGTGATTAATCAGTGTGTTGCTTGTTATTGGTTAAGTCTAACTCTAATTAGCTACAACTGCTCTCTGTAGAGTTTTACCACAAGAACAATCTACCAATGGTATCAACAGTTTTAACAGTTTTTAGTAGCACAACACTTGAACACTTGAATACTCACGATAGCAGTTCCCACAGCAATTCCCACTCTCACCCAATTCCTTCTCACTCTGGTCTCACCTCACTCCGGACGTAGCTCACTCTGTGCTCTCTGCTCGAGTCTTGTGACTCAAGAGACGAGAGTGCTACCACTGCGCCAGGCTGACGCTGGAGTGAGAACTCTCTTTCTCAGTGAGTCCTGGGTGAACAGAGGGCAAAGCAGACTTACACGTGATATGCAGGAACAGGATGCCGCGGTTCGAGCCCAGGCTATTCTGGGCTTTGGCCACCACTCGGAAGACGCCTCCATGTTTGTAAGTGTGCTGGATGCCTCCCTCCACCGAGCTGAGATTGGCATAGGTCACCGCGGTGCCGTCACCAAAGTCCATCCGCAGGCTGGTCCTCGGGGCGTCTCCCTGGGTCAAGGGAATGGAAAGGTTCGTAAACGCTGCCTTCAACCTGCTCCTAACACAGCACTGGGCAGAAGCTGAGACACTAATGGGCCACACTCCCACTGGGGTTCATTGAGAAACGTGTCCAATGCAATGCGTAGGGCTTAGCAGCCCAGGTCCACAGGTCACAAGAGTGGTTTGAATCATGATTCTCCTACTAGGGTTGGTGATGAGGAAGGGAGGGTAGGGCAGTCCGGTCAGAGGTAGGGATGGAGGGAGGGATGGAGAGATATGGGTAGGACGGCTGTAGGGAGAGAGGGAGGGAGGGAATGGAGTGAAGGAGGGAGAGAGGGATTGTAGGTTGACGGGGGGGTTGGACAGTCGGAAGCTCACCTCCTCCAGGTGGACGATGAAAGTCACATTGCGGGTGAGCTCGGTGGCCAGGCTGCCATCGCTGGTGACCAGGTGAAGGCCACGGGGGGGTTTTCTGGGGCACTGCTGGTGTTTGGCTGTGTACTGCTCCCTCACACCCTCCGTGCAGTTATTGGAGCCCACCTTCCTGTAGCTGCACAATGTAACACAAGCAAATTCAACCCCTTTCCCATTGCTGCTTTACACATTTCTGATTCCAGACCTTGAGACAGGTCTCTACGGCCTGAGGTTTTAGCTTTTCTCTTTGTATTTTGTGTCCAGCTTTCCTCTCCTCTGTCCATCCCATCCAATCCTTGCATCTGACACAGCGCTTTCATTTCGGGAGGACATCTCAAAGGATTTACTGTAACGTGTAGTGGCTGCGTGTTACGTGGGCAAATGAAGATTTACTACAAAGTGTAGTGACTGTGCGTTACATAGGCGTACAAGGAGGGCTATGTGCGCACAGTGACATGCTCACAAACAGCCGTGAAGTGGACGACCGGAGTAAAAAGTCCCACGTCTGGGTGAATAAAGCTCTCTGTGGGAACAGGGTGTTGCAATATGGCTGTGAGTTGCCGCCAAGTCTGACACTGGCTGGGATATTGCTCCTGGGCTGTTTGATAGTGAGTAACGTCCAGTTACTGGTCACGTTGGGAAACACAAAGGAGATAAAGGCGGGTTTCGCTGCGGACTCACCCCGTGCTGTTGAGATAGCTCTTCCCCAGGCTGCATTCTTTCACCACGTAAGACGGATTGTACCAAAAGGCAGGTAAACATCGCCCATCAGTGTGGCGCTCATATCCGTAATCACTGTGGCATTGCAGGTGGGAGACAGAGTGAGAGACGCAGATAGAGAGAGGAGGTAAAGGGAGAGAGATGAGAGAAAGAGAGAAGGTAGCGCGAGAATGAAAGAGGAAAAAAGAGAAGGCAGAAAGAAAAAGAGGAAAAGAAAAAGACAGACGAAGAGAGGGAGAGCAAGCCATGAGAAAGAAAGAGAGGGAGCGAGAGAAAGAGATGAGAGAGAGAGAGAGAGAGAGAGAGAAAGAGAGTAAGAGAGTAAGAGCGAAGTCAAAGAATGGGAGAAAGAGTGAAAAAGAGCAAGAGGAAAAGATGAGAGAAGGAACAAGGGGGAAAAAACAGATTTAAAACAAAACTAAGTCACATTTTACACATTAATAATAACATTATTTAAGGAAGGATGTACTTGCCTTGGAAGGGGTGCAGCATAGATTTACTGGGTTAGTACCAGGGATGAAGGGGATGAGTTACGAGGATAGGCTGACCAATTTGGGCCTATATTCTCTAGAATATAGAAGAATTAGAGGGGATCTTATAGAAACCTATAAGATCATCAAAGGGTATGATAGAGTAGATAGTGGGAGATTGTTTCCCCGGTTGGAGAAACTAAAACCAGGGGTCACAACCGTAAAATCAGAGGCCAACACTTTCGCACTGAGTTGAGGAAGAACTTCTTTACTCAAAGGGTGGTGAATGTATGGAACTCACTACCCCAAAGGGCTGTTGACGCTCAGTTCTTGAACATATTCAAGACTGAGATAGATAGATTTCTTATTGCAAAAGGTATTAAGGGATATGGGGATAAGGCAGAGTCAGGTTATTAGCTGGAGTTAGATTAGAAGATCAGCCATGATTGAATGGCGGGGCAGGCTCGAAGGGCCGAATGGCCTACTCCTGCTCCTACATGTTATGTTATTAATAATCCTGACATTTGGTATAGCGGCTTTCATGTCAGGAGGACGACCCAAAGCGCTTCACAGGACATAGAGTAAAGTGCAGTGTCTGTGTGTTTTGTGGGCAAACGAGGCAGCCAATTTGCGCCAGCAGATCGAAATGCCATGACAGCAACCAAATTAACCGAAGGCCTTTGTGCGTGTGCTGTGCTTAAATCTCTGTGGAGTCCTGTAGCTCAGTGATTAGAACACTCGTCTCGCAAGCGAGAGACCTGGGTTCTATTCCCGGCAGGGCGAAATGTTGGGCAAGTTTCCTTACTCCACACGCCTCTGTGTACCTAGCAGTAAGTAGGAAGCCGATTGTTAGTCGATTGGCGGATCGCTTTTCCGGGGATAATAATCCCTCAAAAAAAAACAATAATAATTTGGTCATTTCAATCCACGACTGTTTGTGGGACACTGCTGTGCGCGATTGGCTGCTGCGTTTCGCCCACAAATATACAGTCAATTCACTTTACTGTATATTCTGTGAAACGCTTTGAGACGTCTAGAAGACGTGATATATTAAATGCCAGGATTATTATTATTATCTCTGATAGCGCTCAATGCTGGTCTGCCCATAAACGCCTTACATCTTCAGCCTGTCCCCAGAGACGTATGTGCGTAAGGAAGCTTGGAGCCAAATCCCCTCCTTCCAGATAAAGCTAATCACAAGACAGCTGAAACGTGTAGACACTGAGAGCTTCTACGAATGAGAATATGGGTAGTTTGTACAGGAAGTGATGGGGGACTCAGATATAGTGTATCTGTAAGCACAGCATACCACCCAAACAATACCAGACAGACAACTGCATCACTCCTCAATGGACAGGAACTTATAAGTAGGACAAACATCTCAAAGCGCTTATTGTAGCAATCGTTGTATTTGACGCAGCGCCTTATCATGTTATCGAAACCTCTCCAAGTGCTTTTGGCGAGTGTGTGTTTTGTAGGTAGCCTATCTGCACGCAGCAATGTCCATGAACAGCCGTGAAGTAAATGATCAATTTGATTGTCGGGCAGGACACCGGGAGAGAGAAACTCCTTTCTCTTTTCAAATGGGACCTTGGTTTAACGTCTCATCTGAAGAACCGCTCCCTATTGCAATGGAATCAACAACAACTTGCGTTTGATATAGTGCCTTTCACTTCGGGCGGACGTCCCCAAAGCGCTTCACGGTATACACTGTAAAGTGTAGTGGCTGTGAAGGGTTTTGGGGATGAACGCAGCAGCCAATTTGCGCACAGCAACGTCCCACAAACAGCCATGGAGTCAGCGGTCAATTTTATTTGCGGGGAGTAGGGGGTGGGGTTTTGATGGGGGTAACAGCTGTGGAACAGACTTCAACAGATGCCTCATTAAACCGGCGAAGTTTATATTTTTTTCCAGAGAAAAAATATAACTTTGCTCAGCAGAGCAACGTCAAGGAACAGAGAGACAGAGTGTGGTTTATTCACATGTATGCAGGCTGCCATGCCTTTTCAAAGCAAAGTTTGCTTTAACCCACATCCGGCCATTGGCCGTGAATTATTCAGGCGATGAATAATGTAGATCACCCTATGTGTTTTTTTGCAGAGTGTAAATAATGCATGAGGTTATCTTTTTAATTATTACAAGGAAACGTAGATTCTCTACATATGTATCGCAGACATCTTCCTGTAAAGGCAGAACAGAGGAGCTTTTTTTTGTTATATGAGGTTATGAATATTTCATTGCACGCACTTAAGTGTTAAGTCACATGCTGCTCCGCGATGAAACAGACTGGAGTGAGTTACAACGCTGTAATCCGACCGAGAGATTGAAACAATACAATAGATCTCTTCATCAGACTCTGAGTCCCACACATGTGTAATTTACACGTGTAATTTAGTTTGTAAATCATACTGTGCTGGATTGATCGATGTATGGGGTCATTATGTTTCCCAGGTGTGGAGTCATTATGTTTCCCGGGTGTGGGGAGAGGTAAGGTAACAGGTAAATAATGCAATGAACACTCGCAGGTTATTAATGTGTGGCTCAATTGGTAGCAGTCTCACCTCTCAGTTTGCCCCACCTCAAGCCTCTGAACTTGTACAGTCAAGACTGATGCTACATAGCAGTGCTGGGGGAGCGCTGCATTGTAGGAGATGCTGTTCTTTGGATGAGACATTAAACTGACATCCCTCGTCTGAAATATTCAGAACTGGCGAAGGGTCGTGGACCCGAAACGTTGACTCACTTTCCTTTCTCCATAGATGGTGCCTGACCTGCTGAGTTTTCCCAGCTCTCTCTGTTTTATGACGGTGGAAGAGTTTGGGAAGTAAATAATAATAATCCTTGCATTTGATAGAGCGCCTTATCACAGCTTCGATACGTCCCAAAGCGCTTCACCGGAGATACTGTAAAGTGTAGTGACTGTGTGTTTTGTGGACAAAATGGCTTACGAGGGCAGTTACTCACCACTCGAAGTCCGAGTCCGTGCAGGTACAGGGAACCGATGTGTAGGCACCGATGTATTTCTTTCTCAGTATGCACTGCGCTGTTGGCTTCCGCCGTCGGTATACACGATTCTCTCCCATAATGCAAGCCTCACCCTGCGAGGCAATGACATGGGTAAGAAAGGGAGGGTTCGAAATATAACATCATTACATTGTGAAGCTCACAATGTTTCAACATCGTCAATAATATCTGTCAGGTATCTCTCAGCATCCTGAGAGAGGAACTATGGCGCATCAACATAACGAAGCTAGAAAGACATCTTGCTGATAAGTCTCAGCACTAGAGTTAGTCAGTAGTGTGCTCACCTCCGAGATAGAAAGTTGTAGGTTCAAGCCCCGCAGAGGGACTTTGAGTTCACAGTCTAGGCTGTCTCCAACCCCTCCCTTCCCTCTCTCTGTCTCCCTTTAAATCCTCTCAAAACACCTACCTCTTTGACTGCACCTATGGTCACGCCACATTTCCTTGGCTCCCAACTTCGCTACTGTGAAGCACTCTGAGACGTTACCATAAATCAAGGAACTAAATAAATGCGAGTCATTGTTATTTTGTACTGTTGTTAAGATCCATTTAAGATCAAAGTCCTTCAAATGTCTCCTGGCTCGTAGCAAAGCATATCTCACAGTGACTTGACTTGAACTTCCAGTTGAGATTCCCTTCTCAAAATGCATTTTCGACCAACCAGCCCCAATTGTTGTTATCTTAGGAAATCAACCATAACAGCATCCGAGCAGGAGTGCAGGACAGCTCTGTGTAATCCCGATAAACCGCTACAGATGTGCGAGCAGCAATAATAACATAACATAACATGTAGGAGCAGGAGTAGGCCATTCGGCCCTTCGAGCCTGCCCCGCCACTCAATCATGGCTGATCTTCTAATCTAACTCCAGCTACTCCAGTTAATACCATAACCCTGCGTATCCCCATATCCCTTAATACCTTTTGCAATAAGAAATATATCTATCTCAGTCTTGAAATATGTTCAAGGACTGAGCGTCAACAGCCCTTTGGGGTAGCGAGTTCCATACATTCACCGCCCTTTGAGTGAAGAAGTTCTTCCTCAACTCAGTGCGAAAGGGTTGGCCTCTGATTTTAAGGTTGTGATCCCTGGTTTCAGTTTCTCCAACCAGGGAAACAATCTCCCACTATCTACTCTATCATGCCCTTTGATGATCTTATAGGTTTCTATAAGATCCCCTCTAATTCTTCTATATTCTAGAGAATATAGGCCCAAATTGGTCAGCCTATCCTCGTAACTCATCCCCTTCATCCCTGGTACTAACCTAGGAAATCTACCCCCGCTCTACTGTTTTTGCTACCTAGCTGGATGACTTCGCACTTCCCTACATTATACTTCATCTGCCACCTATCTGCCCAATCACCTAACCTATCTATGTTGCGCTGCGTTTTTTTAATGTCATCCTCTGTGTTGGCACTTCCTCCTAGTTTTGTGTCATCCGCGAATTTAGATATATTAACTTCGATGTCCTCATCTAGATCGTTGATGTAGATGGTAAATAGCTGAGGCCCAAGGACTGATCCTTGTGACACTCCACTAGTCACATCCCGCCAATATGAAAAGGACCCGTTTATCCCTACTCTTTATTTCCTACCCGTTAACCATTCCCCAATCCACGTTAATATACTGCCCCCAATTCCATGGGCCCTTATCTTTTGGACTAACCTTTTATGCGGCACCTTATCGAATGCCTTCTGGAAGTCCAAACAGACCACATTCACTGATTCACCCTTATCTAGTTTACTCAAAAAACTCTATGAGATTATTACAAAGATCTTACTGTCCGTAGCAGGTGAACGAGAAGTCAAGATTTCTAAGGCGAAATTACAAAAAGGGCAGCAGCAATTATTATTATTGAAAGGCGCTGGACAGTCAAGAGTTGGGGGGCTGGAGTCAAGAGGGATGGAGGGCAAGGGGTGGGGGGTGTAGTGAGGTGGGAGATGGAGGGAGAGATCCAGGCTGCTTGGGAAATACAATACAACATTACATTTGTATAGAAATGGGAGGTTTTTTCATGAGGTGGATCTTCATGTTTTTCACAGGAAATCACAGAAAATGGGTTTGGAGCTCAGGGGCTGTGTTTCCTCACCTGATTGTGGAGCTCCCACGCCTGGAGGTCCTTCTCAGTGCATCTCCTGCTGAAGATGGACCTGTAGTCAACCTTCACCAGCTGCCAGTCCGAGCGATGGCTCAAGTGCCCGAACACTCTGTCAGAGACAACAGTCACAATTAGTAAAGGAGTGAGCTGTGGCAGGCAACACTGAGGAAGTGTTAATTAAACACTCGTCACATTTACGTGACCCGCTGGAAAACTTGAGTTGCGATGCATGGCCCTGTTGCACATCAGTTCCGAGCAAACCCCCTGCGCAGCACTGCTCATCTCCCTTTCACACGCCTGTAATACACATGCCGTGCTGCCATTAATGTGTGATTTATCCCCCCTGAGCTCTGCCTCTGATCTATTACACAATAGGTCTTTGCTTTATATTGCCGCATCCCATCACTTTGGCAAGCTAAGGCTAACGCTATCTATCATAGAATAGCTTAAAAATATAACAGAGTCACGGGAAACATAGTAGCAAGAGCTAGAGAGGTCTGGATTTCATTACATTAGTGTTCCCTGTGCGCTTATGTATGCTGAGCGCCGCTCAATTGTATTACGTGTAAGTTGAAGAGGAGTGGACCACATCTGGGCTTCCTGTAAACTGTCAGGCCAAGGGGGAGAAGGTGAGACAATGCTTCACATCAGAGCCAACAACAAGATGCTTTTACACAGCGCCCTTCACACTGGGTAACGTCTCGGGGCGATGTCTGGACAGATGTATTGTTTGACAGAAGGAGGCCAGTAATAATTAATTTTATGTTTATTGGAATAATGAATAATTTCTCCCACAAAAATCCAGCCAATTCGCTTTGAAGACGCTATTTTAATTGCTAGAATTATTATTATTATTATTATCAGAATCCCCTCATTTGATATGGCACCATTCACGTAGGGAGGTTTTCTCAGGACACTTCACAGGACTGTAAGGGGGAGTATTTTATGAATGAACTCAGCGGCCAATTTTGTGCACAGCAATGTCCCACAAACAGTGGTGAAGTGAATGTCGCGTGGGACATCAGGGGACTGAGAAACATCCTTCTCTTTTCGAGGAGTGCCACTGCATTACTTTAACATCCAACCGAATAGGCACAGAGGAGCTCGGTTTAAACATCTCACCCGATAGATGGCGCCTCTGACAATGCAGTGCTCCCCCAGCATTGAATTGGAGCAACGGCTTTGAAAAAGACGAGGGCGGGTGGGGGGGTGGGTGGGGGGGAGAGGGAAGGAGTGTGGAAATTGAACACTGCTCCAGCTTCGTCTATCAACACTCATTCGGGCCCTCGTGGCCACCCTCCCTCCCTCTGCCATTCAAGGAATTTATAATGGATTGTTTTTACTGAAACTGCGATTTCAAAGCAAATTTGGCATAAAATGGCCAGGCCAGGCATGATTGCAGACTAATTCCCCTGCTCTCTCTCTCTCCTAGGCGATACAGCGGGCTGCAAAAAAATGTTTTTCCGCTGATAAAGTCTTTCCACAAAGGGAAGCATTATTTCTCAAGCACTGGTTGTCTCGCAAGGTCAATGAAAGACAAAAAGCCACAAGCAAATGATCAAGTGAGCCTCAAATTGGAGGTGGGGGCAGGGGGGAGGTGAGTGTGATGCACGAGAGAGCAAAAGGGTGGGAAGGTAGTTTCTTTCCCCCTCCACCACCCCCCACCACCCCCCCCCGTCCCATCTTTCCTCCCTCCCTGCTCCCCGGTTTCCTGGCAGACAATCCCCCCGCAGCCCCCGCTCCCCCAGATCAAATCAGTTATTCGCTTCACGGCTGTTTTGTTGGGACATCGCTGTGTCACAAAATTGGCTGCAGCGCTCGCCCACAAAAACACAGTCACTCCACACCCTGTAAAATCCTGTGAAGTGCTTTCAGATGCCTGGATGACGTGATAAGGCGCTCTTATCAAAATTCGAAGATTATCATAAGAGAGGTGCGTGTGTGCGCGGGGGTGTGTGTTGTGTGTGTGTGGAGGGGGGAGTTGTTTTTGTGTGTGTGTGTGTGTATGGGGGGCGGGGGGGAGTTGTGTGTGTGTGTGTGAGGCTATGTGTGTGTGAGGGTGTGTGTGTGTGAGTGTATGCGTGTGGAGGGAGGTTGTGTGAGGTGTGTATGTGTGTGTGGGGGGGTGGGGGAATGGTGTTTGAGGGTTGAGTCCAGCACTGCTCAGCGACAAAGAAATGTGAGAGGCAGAAGCTTGTGAGAAGCATTCTCGAATTCCTCGCTTGATGTGTTCTCCCTGGTGGATTTATTTATGAATGTAAATTGGCTCCGAGTCACCGAGGAGAGAGAAACAGCATTTATAATTGATGAGGACGTGAGCGGAGGGAGGCGCAAGGGCTTCAGTGTAGAGCACCTCCTCTCTTCCCTCCCATTCCAGCTGGTGATTGTTCGCGCAGGGAGTCAGGTTCTGCCTCACGGCAAAGGTTGGAAGCTTTAACATTTTTGATGTCGAGCTGGTCAATGGTCCTCTGGATGAATCGGTCACTCACCTCATGGCCACTCATTTTTTTTCCAGCCATTCTGCTCTCCACTCTCCCTGGAACTCCATCCCGGAGTCCCCTCTCCACCTCAACCCCAACCTCCGCCCCCCCACCCATTAACACATTTAAAGCCTAAGACGTTATCCTAGGTGAAAGCCGCTGTATTACATGCAAATTATTAGAGGTCAACCACCACAGGAAATGATGTTGGTAGTGACCTGGTGACCAGGTGGTCAGGATAGTGAAGTAAAATGGCGTCTACTCACGTCATGACGAGGGTGTCCTCTCCGGGCTCCCCCAACATGCCGTCCACAAACAGAGGCACCGACGTGAAGCTGTACTTGCTCCAGGAATTTCCTGCATCGAAGCTAAGCCTGCCAAAGTGAGGGAAAGCAACGTGATTACAGTGCTATTATTCCTGCCTCAATCCCATCCCTGCTTTATCTATTGCTAATGTGCTCTTGTTCCAAATCCTTGTTGCGTCCTAAAGTATTGGAGTCCTGCAGCTCAGTGGTTAGAGCACTCGCATCGCAATCGAGAGGACCTGCGTTAGATTCCCGGGCAGTGAAAACATTAGGCAAGTTTCCTTACTCCACACGCCTCTGTTTACCTAGCAGTAAGTAGGAACCCGGTTGTTAGTTGATTGGCGGATTGCTTTTCCGGGGGTAATAATCCATTAAAAAAAATTAACTAAGCACCAATAATTTGGTCACTTAACCCACGACTGCTTGTGGGACATTGCTGTGCGCAATTGGCTGCCGTAATTCGCCCACAAAATGCACAATCAATTCACTTTACAGCGTATCCTGTGAAGGGCTTTGAGATGTCTTGAAGAAGTGATAAGGAGCTATATCAAATACAGTGATTATTATCATTATTCAATTATTATTAATGAACAGGATTTGCCAATCGATCGATTGAAACCACGTTTGACGTTGTGTCAGCGTTGGATGTTGAAGTGACTAAATCTCATTAAGTCAGCAGATCACACGATGTCTTCAGATGAAGAAGACCCTTTGGCCTCTCTGAACTCAGCAGGCAGTCAGCTCGTGCACAGCACTGAGCAACCTTTTACATGTTAATCTGCTAAAAAAAAATGTGCTTTTCAAACGGAAATTTTCATCTGCTCCGACCAAACCCCCTGTCATTTTCTTGTTACAATTTTCATGATGTCTTCTTTGACTGGATTTATACGCCATGTATTTTTGATGCGGGAGATGATTGGGTGCAGAGATTTGCATCGGAATATTCTATTGGTTTGAGTTTAAGGCTTAAATCTCAAAGCTCCATGTCTCATTAAAGTCTCAATTGCTCTGATTTCTTCCCCCACGTCACCCCAAACCCTCCCCCCCCACCCCACCCCACTCACACACATGCACATACACACACGCCCACTCTCAATTTATTTTAATCAAAGTACCTTCAAAGGGATTCGGGCGGTCTTTCATTTGTTTTAGTATTACTATTATTAATAATCTATTAGGATTTCCAGGCTATATCAGTGAATCCCCTCTCCTCTGTAGGTATGTAAATAATTAAGCTATCGCGGTGAGGTATTCTGTGAGAGTGGAATCCAATGATGAAAGGCTACAACTCCACTCGCTTAAAGGTCCACTCCCCATCCCTCCCTCCTGAATCTCCTCTTTAATTCAGCTCATCTGACATTTGGGGGGGTCCCTTCTGACTCGTCGACCTGTGCTGTTCACTTATCACTTTTGTGTTTACTCTATCATACACTTCAGGTCCTGCGGCACAAGCCTCTATAACTCCCTGCCTCAATCCAATTCTATCACCTTTTTATCTGTCTTTAAAACACAGTTTACAACAACAGATTGCAATTAAATAGTGCCTTTCACGTTGCGAGGACCTCTGAAAATGCTGGATAGTTAAGGGTTTTCACTCAAGTTGGGGGTTGGAGACAAGAGGGATGGAGGGCAGGAGGGTGGGGGTGGGAGGATAACCGCAGTCGAAGAAGAAGGTCTTGACATGGGCCTTGAAGGAGGCAAGGGAAGGGGCGAGGTGGAGGGGCTCTGAGATGGAGTTCCAAAAGGCGGGGGCAGAGAGGTTGAGGGCCCAACCGCCAATAGTGGAGTGGGCCAGGCAGGGGAGTTGGAGCAGGCCAGAGACCGCTGAGTGTAGGGAGCAGACAGGTCGATAGGGAGCGAGGCCGTGGAGGGATTTGAAGGCAATTTCAAACCTATGTCCCCTTGTTCTATCTGCTATCTCGGTACATGCTATTCCTCTGGGTGACCAGAGCCAGAGGCTGGGAGTTACTTAACAAAGAAACTCGATGCTATGATGGTGTTGCAGGGGTGAGGGGAGGATGGCATTTGGAAAGGAGGGGATCAGAAGGGTCTGCTTGATCTGAACCAATCTTGTGATCCAGCGATCCCATTCTACTGGAGCTCGGGCACTGATAATTACCACATGTGCTTGATGGGCTGAGGCGTGTGTTTAATGGCCACCAGGGCTCCCCCTTGGTCCAGGAACAGGATGCTGTGTTCCTCTTCAAACACCTGTGTGGGAGCACATGCAGATCAGTGTTAATACAACCTCCCCCGAGCAGTCCCCAGCTGAAAAGCCACTCACTCACTCAGCACGGAGCACGAAACTGGCCAGTGAATGCCCCGCCCCTGCTGTGAGCATCAGCTCTTTCCACTGCCTCGCTCCCTCCTCTCGCTCACCTGCCTCCAGCTATTTCCCCCGTCGGACGAGATGAACATGCTGCTGGCACGCTCTTCCTCATCCACTAACAGCTCGGGCCCGATGTTACCTGAAAAGATCCGGTGACTGGGTTATAACAGAGTGATGGGCTTGGGCTTTAACAGTAGCATTTGCGGGGGACGCTGCTGTGCGCAATTGGCCTCTGCGTTTCGCCCACAAGATACACAGTCAATTCCCTTTGCAGTATGTCCAGTGAAGCGCTTTGAGACGTTTCAATGACGTTATCGGGTGCTATATCAAACGCAACAATTATTGTTCTTATTCTAATAGGCGGAATGACAACACCACCACCTCACATTTGTATAGCGCCTTTCATGTCGGGAGGACGTCCCAAAACACTGGATTGTGAGGGATTTGCACCCAAACTAGGTTTGGGATTATAGAGGGGTTATAACAGGCAGAGTGCTTTGGAATTGTGACAACAGCCATTTACATTTATACAGCGCCTTTCACATTGGGAGGAAGTCAGGGATTTGAACCAAGCTTGGGATCAGGGAGGGGGTGGTAGAGGGTGACCGAAGGCGGGGACGAAGAGGAGGGTCTTGAGACGTACTGTGAAGGTGGCAAGTGGGGGGGTGGGTGGGTGAGAGTGCTACTGACTGAGCCATGCTGAGCACTTTAACAACAGACTGAGTACCTGAAGCCACAATGATACCAGGTGCTGATTCCTTGCTGGCGATGTTTCCTGACGTGTATGGATTCTGTGCCACCTTCAAGTGCAGATTCAACGAGCAATAAGGCTGGCAAACACACAGGGAAAGGGTAGAGAGGGTGTTACAAACCGACCTGCAAATCTCAACACCCGTTCCCTCTCAAGGGCATTAGGACCGGGTTTCAAGATAAAGGGTATATAATAAAGATCCAAGTGATTTAATTCACGTTTGGTTTACGTCAAGCGGAATATAAGATGCAACTCAGGAATATTCGACGCGTGTTTCTGGTTATACAATGTTATATAATATACAATGCTCCTGATTAATCGGTTGTGTCAATGCAACACTCCATCCAACCTTCCCCCCCCAGCCCCCCCAGCATCACACTGAAGTATCAGTTAGACTGTGCGAGTCTAAGCTTTGTGAGTTGAAAGTCCACTGAACCGTCAGTTCAACAACAACAAGGTGCTGAACAGTCAGGGTTCAGGACGTGAGAGTGGGGGGGGCAGGGTTGGGATGAGGGAGGGCAGAGGGGGTAGGAGGGCAGCTGAAGGCACGGTCGAAAAGAAGGGTCTTGATGTCGTGCCTCGAAGGAGGTAAGAATTTGAATTCTATCCTCTGAGGACTGGGGAGCCAGTGGAACCAGGCGAGGGTGGCGGTGATAATAATAATAATAATAATAATAATAATCCTTGCATTTGATATAGCGCTTTTCACGTCGGGAGGACGTCCCAAAGCGCTTCACAGAATATACTGTAAAGTGAATTGACTGTATATTTTGTGGGCGAACGCGGCAGCCAATTGCGCACAGCAATGTCCCACAAACAGTCGTAGATTGAAAATGACCAATTTATTATTGTTTTGGGGTTTTTGGAGGGATTATTATTAGGCGTTTGGAGTAAGGAAACTTGCCCAAGGTTTCGCCCTGCCTGGAATTGAACCCAGGTGTCTTGCTTGCAAAGCAAGTGCTCTAACCACTGAGCTACAGGACTCCACTGAGGTCCACTGGGGTCACAGAGCCTGGTGCGAGGAGAGGCCACGAGCTGCAGAGTTCTGGATGATCTGCAACTTGTGGAGGGAAGAGTTGGGGAGGCTGTCAATGAGGGAGTATCCGTAGTTGAGCAGCGAGGTGACGAATGCAAGTATGAGGATTTCGGCAGCCCGAGGGGTGAGGCAATGGCGGAGTCGGGCAATGTTGCGGAGGTGGGGGAAGGTAGAGCGGGTCATGGCACAGATGTGGGGGAGAAAGGACAGTTGAGGGTTGAACAAGACGCCCAGGTTCCTGACTGGCTTGGTGAGGTGAAGTATGGCATCTCGTGAGCAAGGACAAGGATTTTGAAATTCACACCGAGCAAAGCTCAGATGAAGCCTTTCTGAATTGCAGTCAAATAACAAAGGTTTCCAGCGCAATTAAAACGTTGATGACAGCCATTAACATTGACCATGGCTTCTCTGACATGTTCTTCAACAGTAACTGACCCCAAGAACCGTATTAATCACAGTGTTTAACCTCTTCAAGTTTCCTCCTTATTTGTACCTTCATTAGTTCAGTGGGTCGATAAAATCCTTTTAGAAGGGATTTAGGCTCTCCTACAATGAAACGGTGATGGGGAGAAAGATTATTATTGGGATTATTTACAGGAGACGGGTTGAAAAGTACCTTACCAGGAGACAGTGAATGTCATTGCCTCGCACGTCAGTGGATGGAGCTCCAAGCAGTCGCCAGTCACGGCCTTTGTTGTAAGTGATGAATGTCTTCACTTGGTTTTCTACCTTCTTGTTCACTAAGAACATTCCCTTTATCCCTGCTACCTAGGAAAAATGGTTACAGCTGAAATACTGCTGATGAAATGTGGGGCAGGGAAATGTGGGGGGTTGCTGGGGGGCAGGGGTGTGCAAACGGGTGCCTCCAAACAATCTCCATCCTTCCACCCCTTCGTCCCCGCTGCAAATGAACATGGACGCAACTCGTAGAAAGGGGAAACTTGATGCGTGCGTGAGGGGAAATAATAATAATAATAATCCTTGCATTTACTATAGCGCCTTATCACATCTTCGACATGTCTCAAAGCGCTTCACAGAATATACTGTAAAGTGAATAAACTGTATATCTTGTGGGTGAAACGTGGCAGCCAATTCTGCACAGCAGTGTCCCACAACACAAACAGTCGTGGATTGAGTGACCAAATTTTATTTTTGAGGGATTATTACCCCCGGAAATCGATCTGCCAAACGACTAACAACTGGGTTCCCACTTACTGCTAAGTAAACAGAGGTGTGCAGAGTAAAGAGCCTTGCCTAAGGTTTTGCCCTGCCCAGGAATTGAACCCGGGCTTTCTTCCCTTGCAAGGTGAACGCTCTAACCACTAATCTACAGGACTCCACAATGTGGAGCATGAACACCTGCATGGACTAGTTGGGCCGAATGGCCTGTTTCCCATGCTGTATCACTCTATGACACATCTGCATGTATATTTGCTTATTGATTATAAACTGAACACAGTAGAGATTCAGTAGATGAGGAGAGCAATGAGGCTGATCACAACGTTTGAGGGGTGAGCTGTGGGCAGCACTTGTGTTCAGCCTGGAAGAGAGATGTATCAGGAAGAGAGTGTAACAGACGTGTAAAGGGAGAGAGAAAGTGAACCCAGAACAATATTTTCAGACACTCTTAAGAGTGAAAGTCAAGAGCTTTCAGGGTTACATTTCTAATCAATTTTATTCTTTGAAGCTAATCTATTTTATTCTGTATGGCGCTTTGAGACATTTATTTTATGTGAAAGGTGCGATATAAATTGCAAGTTATTAATAATAAAATCTATTGCTTACACGGAGCATGAGAGCAACTGGGCAGTGGAGGGGACGTGAGGTGAGAAATGATCTGGTGATTTGCTAATCTGTGATCCGGTGTCCCAATGATCTAGCAATATATTAATTTGCCAATGTGGTGATCTGGTGATTTGCTAATCTGTGGGTCTGGTTATCCAACAGCACAGTGATCTGGCAATGTGGTAATCTGATAATATGGTGATCTGGTGATCTGGTAATGCGATGATCTGGTAATGCAGTGATCTGGTGATATCGTGATCTGGTAATGCGGTAATCTGGTGATATGGTGATCTGGCAATGCAGTGTGTTAAAAACATTTGCAACTATCTCCAATACACTTTAACATTAACCCATGACAACAAGTGATCTGGTAATGCAGTGATCTGGCAATGCGGTGACCTGGTAATGTGGTGACCTGGTAATGCGGTGACCTGCTGATGCGGTGATCTGGTAATGTGATGATCTGGTGAAATGCCAGTTGGTGTTGCTGTTGGTTGTGATCCGATGGAGGGAGCCCTGTGTGTGGGAGCTTGTGGAGCACAGACACTACGTTACCTCGTACAAGTCGATCATCACGTTGCCCTCAGGGCCGCGGCTGCTCTTGACATTCTCCAGGGCCAGAGTGAAGTACACACCCTGGGCCTCCGACACGTACAGGTTATAGGTGTCGTTCTGGTTCCATTCCTGCACTGCAGAAAACACCTGCTTCTCATCCGTGCTGATGATGTGCATGTCCTGTAGGCAAGTTAATAAATAACAATATATCATAATAGATATAATATAAATAATAATACATAATAAATAGTAACACATTATAATAAATAATGGCAGTAATACATAATTACTACAAATAATAATACATAATAAAATAATACATAATAGAATAATAAATAATAATACCACACATAACTACTATTAATTAAAATATTGGTGTGCGCAATTGGCTGCCGCGTTTCACCAACAAAATATGGAGTCAATTCACTTTGCAATACATTTTGTGAAGCGCTTTGAGACGTCTCAATGACGTGATAAGGATTTTTATTATATTGACATTATATTAATGAACATGGTTTAATTAATCGATTGATATTAATACTGTAAACTTCTGATAACTTGACCCTGGCATTACGGCTTGTCACTACCACTTAACTCCTCATCCTGTCAATGTTTCATCCAAAGGACAGCGCCTCTGACAATGCAGTGCTCCCACAAGCGCTGCAACAACTTGGAATTTTTGGATTTATTTATATAGCGCCCTCCACGCCAGACAGCATCTCAGAGCGCTCAGAGCCGCCCTGGAGCATCAGCCTAGACTGTGAGCTCAAAGTCTTGACCTGTTGCCTTTTTCAGGCCCGTTTGGTATCTCATGTCTTTCTATAAGGTCTCCTCTGAGATGTCTCATTCCAAGCCTTATAAAAACCCTGACTTATCTCATCATTCTTCACAGCTCATCCCTCTAACACTTGGGATCAGCCTCTTTAAGTGTCTTTGTGCCGAGGCTGCCTGAAAACTACAAGTCCCATTCTTTTCATCACTTGTACAGCAATGAAGGGCAATTCTCAAAGCAATCATTTCATTCAATCCACTGAAATTTCCAAGGATTAAGTCAGGTGGTGCTATTATACCCAACATTACCATACTGCAGTGCAGCGAGTCATACGGTATGTTTTACACACTACCAGCTGTACACTTCAGTNATAANCAATAATCCTTACATTTGATATAGCGCCTTTTCACATTGGAAGGACGTCTCTAAGCGCTTCACAGGATTTACTATAAATTGCAGAGACTGTGTATTGTGTGAACGCGGCAGCCAGTCCCGCAGACAGCCATGGAATGAACGACCAATTTTATTTGGGGGATTGTCAGCCAGGACACCGGGAGAAAGAAATTCCCTTCTCTATTCGAATAGTGCTGCAAGAACTTTAACATCCACCTGAAGAGGCAGATGGGACGTTGGTCTATGTCTCATCTGAAGGACGGCATTCAAACCAGTGAGCTCCTGGTCTGTGAGCTGCAGCTCTGTCCAGTATGAGGCTGCCCCATCAATATCCGCATGGACACCCACTGTCCATTATTCTTACCTTCGGCAATGAGTATTTTGGGAGTTTCATTTCCGCGAAGCTCCCTCTTTGATACGACACGTAGTAGCTCACCCGACCTCCAGACGTCACCTACGCACAAAACACGTATAAATGTTAAAGAACTTTCTCTTGTTTTCCTCTTGCATTTGATCTAGAGCTTACCACATCGTCGAGATGTCTCAAACCATTTCATAGGATCTTACTGTCAAGTGTAGTGAACTTGTAGGCAAACACGGCCTCCACTTTGCACTCAGCAATGTCCCACAAACGAGCCTGAAGCGAAAGATCAATTCCTATCTGGGTGATTGTTGGCTAGAACACAGGGAACAAGAAACTCCCTTCTCTGTGGATTAGTGCCATGGGATTTTTATCATCCACCTGTGACAAGCAGACGGAACCTCGGTTTAACATCTCACCTGAAGGACAGCACCTCTGACAGTGCAGCGTTCGTCCAAAACTGGCGTGTCAGTCAAGAAAGTTTCACTTCTGAGTCAGAGGGTTGCGAGTTCAAATCCCATGTTATGACTTTGAAATCATACAGTCTAAGCCGATGCTCCACAACAGTGTTGGGGAAGCACTGCATTGTTGGAGGTCCTTCCTTTGGATGAGACGTTAAACCAAAGTTCCCATCTACCCATTCAATGGGCATTAAAGATCCCATTGCACTCATCGAAAAGAGAAGGGAGTTTTTCCTGGTGCCCTGGCCAAGAATTCCTCCCCCACACTTCATGGCTGCTTGGAGTCCTGTAGCTCAGTGGTTAGAGCACTCGCTTTGCAAGCGAGAGACCTGAGTTCAATTCCAGGCAGGGCGAAACCTTGGGCAAGTTTCCTTACTCCACACAGCCTAATAATAATCCCTCCAAAAAAACAAAACAATAATAAATTGGTCATTTTCAATCTACGACTGTTTGTGGGACATTGCTGTGCGCAATTGGCTGCCGCGTTCGCCCACAAATATACAGTCAATTCACTTTACAGTGTGTCCTGTGAAGCGCTTTGGGACGTCCTCCCGACGTGAAAAGCGCTATATCAAATGCAAGGATTATTATTATTATTATTATGTGACATTGCTGTGCACAAATTGGCTGCCGCCTTCGCCCATATAATACACAGTCACTACACTGACATGAAAAGAACTACAGTATATCAAATGCAAGGATGATGATGGTGATTATAAAAGGCGCACTAACTGGCATGTTCTGTGAGTGCTTAGGAGTTTGAAAGGTCACAGGAAAACACACTTATCGATGCTTTCACCAAATAGCTGTCTTTTGCCCTTCTTGATCTGGGCTGATGCAATCTGCCCCCTCAGGCCAACACGTTCCACATATGCCAGGGTACCTGGAGGACAGTTAGCCAGGACACCAGGAGAAACTTCCTTCCTCGACCACCTTTACCTGAGCAGGTCTGGCATTTGATTGATACGTTACAACGCTTCACTGGTTAATTGCTGTCAAGTGTGTTGATTGCGATTTTGCAGGCAAACCGGACAGCCATTTTGCATGAAATGTCTCATCCGAAGGACGTCACATCCAACAGTACAGTGTACAGCCCTGGACTGTTTGGTCAATGTGTAATACAGGGCTAGAACCCCCAATCTTCTGATCCGGAGGTGAGACAGATGCGTGTCTGAGCCAAGCCGACACAGTGTTCATTAAAGACTAATTCAGCCAACGTTACCTACATTCCTGCTTCTATTTGTGCTCTGCATTGTGCACATTCCGTTCCAAAGAGCTGGGCCGAGGGACATAACTGATCCTAATAAACAAGAATGCACCCAAACCAGCTTTATGCCCAGCAGATAAACACCTCTGAATCTGCACCAAGGAAAGATTGGACAAGGTAAGACAAAATAAATTGGTCTGATTGATTTTTCCCTGAGATACTTTGGATCTTCAGAAATACACCATAATTACGTATTTGTTTTCGCTCCAGATCTCAGGGACAATTGATTGGATTGAGACTCATGTTCAATAAGACATGGCTTGTTCTCTCTTGAAATGAATGTGCCTCTTAACAGAGCACACACACACACAATATCCTTTCATTTTGTTCTGTTCAGTATCAGCGCCATGGCTCCGACGCTCATTAAGACCCAGTGATAGGGCGAAACTGTGTAATCATAAATAGTTAAGCCTCATATTTAATACAGTGTCTTATCATGTCATCAAAACATTTTAAAGTGCTTTATGGGATATTATTGCAAAGTGCAGCGACTGTCTGTTTTGTAGGCGAATGCGGCAGCCAATTTGCACACAGCAACGTCCCATCAATGCCCAATGAATGCCCAGTTTTACCTGAGGGATTATTGGCCAAGACACAATGAGAAATTCCCCTCACTTTTTGAGAAGTGCAGTAGGATCTTTAACGTTCACCCAAACAGGTGAACAACAACAACAACTTGCATTTATATAGCGCTCTTCACACAGGATAGTGTTCCGGAGTGCTTGAAATGGGACGGGACCTTGGTTTAATGTTTCGTCTGAAGGACGGCACCTTCAACAATCCAACGCTCCCTAACACTTGAGCAGCAGCTTCTGGTGATGTAAGTTCAAAGTCCCCACGTGAGGCTTGTACCCACAACCTTCTAATTCAGAGAAGGGAGTGCTACCAACTGAGCCAACCCGATGCCAGTTTAATAAGCCATGTAAAAGTGCAGAGGTGGTACTGGATTCCTTGTCACTGGCTGTCTCAGGTAGAGCATACTGGGGAGTGGGGGTTTGGGGGGTGAAGGGGAGCAGAAGGGAAGGAAAAAGGAGGAAAGGCTCTCACAAGCTGGAAGATCCGGGTTTGATCGATTCCCACGCAGGGCAAAACCTTAGGCAAGCGCCGTAAGTAGGATCCTGGTTGTTAGTTGATTGGCGGATGGGTTTTCTGGGGGTAATAATCCCTCCAAAAAAAAGAAAATGTGGTCACTCAATCCACAACTGCTTGCGGGATACTGCTGTGTGCAATTGGCTGCTGGGTTTTGCCCACAAAATGTACACAGTCACTCCACTTTACAATATATCCTGTAAAACTCTATGCGATGTCTCAATGATGTGATAAGGTGCTATATCAAATGCAAGGATTATTGTTATGATTATGAGGGCAAAGCAAGAGAAGGAAAGGGAGATAAGGGAAAGACAAGACAATTGACTTGGATGTAGCCCTTTACCTGTGCAAACACGTAGTCATCCTGTACCACCAAGGAGTTGTGGTCGATGTGACCTGGGAAAAGTTTGTTGCTGGTGGCCCCCGTACAGTTGTGTATTCTGCATGTGATATACATGGCGTCTGCTCAGAGAGAAGAAAATAAAGAGAGTCTGAAATAAAATTGTAGAATATTTATTGGGCCAAAGGTTTACCCCCTCATGAGCGCTTGTTTTTCCCCCTCAACACCCTGATGTTGGGCAGCCTGGGCTCTTTGCCTTGTACCAGGCAGGGGCCATTCACGCACATAGTGGAGTCCTGTAGCTCAGTGGTTAGAGCATTCGCCTCGCAAGCGAAAGGACCTGGGTTCGATTCCTGAGCAGGACGAAAGCTTAGCCAAGTTTCCTTACTCCACGTGCCTCTATATTCCGAGCTGTAAGTAGGAACCTGGTTGTAGGTCGATTGGCGGATCGCTCTCCAGGGGGTAAAATCCCTCCAAAAAAAAATAAGAACAATATGGTCACTCAATCCACGATTGTTTGTGGGATGCTGCTGTGCGCAATTGGCTGCCGTGTTTCACTCACAAAATATGCAGTCAATTTACTTTACAGTATATTCTGTGAAGCGCTTTGAGAAGTCTCAACTACGTGATAAAGCGCTTTATCAAATGCAAAGATTATTATCAGTAGTAGTTTTATTTAAGGCACTCACGTCCTTCTGCGTCCCTCGCCTCAATGTGCACGAGGTCTGGATACTTGTCTAAGCCCGTTACCGACCTAAAAAGAGTGAAAGAGTGGGGAGGGGATTGGGGGGGACGAGAGGGGTAAGCGGGAAGGAGGTGGGAGAGGGTGTAAGGAGTGGTGGAGTGGGGGAAAGAGCGGGGATGGGAGAAGGAGTAAAAAAAACAGAAATAAATGAGGACGTCGCAACCTGAACGTGACAGCCTCATAAGAGCTTAGCGTTCCCAGTCTTTCACAATGCTCCAATGCAATAGAATGGGAGGACAGTCGGATGGATGGACGGTCAGATAAGACAACTAAACCTTACGAATTGCAATTCCCAAGCCGTCAGCACTCCGGCGTGTGCCTGTCATCAGGAATCTTACACACGGAGGACTTAAGTCCCCGAGGCAAGGCTGCTCACAGTTATTAAGCCGTTGTTAACAAGTCCCAAGCAGCTGGAAAGACATGCATTGAACTCGTTTGTCTGAGACCTTAAACAAGAATCAAGGGGACAACCAAGCTGTGCCATGTATCTGTGTCAATCCAATCAAGTAAGTTCTCCGAATCAAATGAGCAGATTCCCACATTGCTCTCTTTACTATAAAATGACTATGAAATTTACTACTAAATTTCATCTCTGCGATATAGAGCTACACTGTGATTTACAGCACTGAAGAGGGCCATTCGGCCCAATTAGTTAGTGTTTTATTCTCCACACTAACTACGGTTTTAGCTGGTTAAACTCCAGCAGTTACAACCAAGCCTTGACTCTCGCTAACCTGCACCTAATACTCTCTGGGATAAGGTCAGCAGGATTCAGCACTGTGAAGCTCTTTGGGACGTTCTCTCAACATGAAAGGCCCTATAGAAATGTAAATTGTATCCCTCTGGAGTAAAGACTGAACATAGTGAGCTCTCTCTTACCAGTAGAAGCGATTGGGAGTGATTCTCTCAAGCACCAGCTGCCATCTCCGTCCAAAATCATTGGAACTGTACAACTGGAAAAGAAAACCACATGAAGTACACAGATGAGATAATGAACACAGACATGGACAGGCATTAAAATGATGGCCTCTGCCTTTGTCCTTTCTCAATCTCGCTGGGAATCTGTAACTAAGTGAAAAGTTGTCAGCCTGGCTCAATTGGTATCATGTTGGCTTCCGAGTCAGAATGTTGTGGGCTCAAGACCACTTTGTTGAGACGCCTCAACGAGCTTCACTGAATATACCTTAAAGTCAATTGACTGTGTATCTTGTGGGTGAATCGTGGCAGCCAATTGCACACAGGAGTGTCCCACGCACAGTCGTGGATTGAGGGACCAAATTACAATTATTAATTTTTATCGAAAGGATTTTGCCAACGGACAAACCATCCACCAATCGACTGACAACTGGGTTCCTATTTACTGCTGGGTGTCATGATCCCGCTTCATAACTGAAATTGTGAATATATGCTAACCCATGTAGTCAAAATAATTACTTTAATCAATGGTTAGAAATGCTTATGATGAATAGACACCTTTATGAATAATGGTTAAAAATGATGAAGGCAGCTAAGAAAATGTCAAGATGACTTGAAGATGTTTATCCATAACAAATTCATGTTTTAATTAGTGTTGTGTTAAAGGTGAGGTAGCTGAAGATGCCTTTCCATTACAAATTCATGTTTAGGTTAAAGGTGCTTTCTATAACAATTCAAGTTTTATAGCAATTCATGTTCTTCTATAATAATAAAAAATATGCAGATTGCATATTATTATTCTTTCATGTGAGATATTTGCTTCATGTGTGTGAGAAAGGAAGAATTGTTTATTTTCATCCTGCCTGTGGAAAATCGATTATAAATGATGTATGGCCGAACTATACGTTGTACAGCCTAGGACAGTGCATATCAGGTGCTGTCCGCACAAAAGCTAACTTTCATGTGACGATATGGAGTGGTGAAGCAAGTGTGTTGTCTTCGGGGTTAAAATCCATCAGACTTAGACTGTTCCATCATTTCATCAATTTTCGTTAACCCCAGCAGTTTCAGGAAGAAGGAAACTGCAGGAATTCCAGAACGTCTGAAATCCTTTTAAATGTAATTGGAGGAGAAGAATAACAACGTACAACAATTGTGGAATAAAGTGCACAGCTCAGCCGTCCATCTTTTAAAGATTCAACTTTGACTTCATAATCAACAAACTCAAGCAAAAGGTTTCTGGTTGGAAACGAGAGACTTTTTTGTCTGATGCAAGACTTTTGCCTGCTGTGTGTGCATATATACCAACTGACTTTGATCTAGACATTTGTCTACGCAACTGTTGTATTTGTGATGATTGAACTAACAAAGTTTACATTTCTTATTAAGTAAAGAATTTTCAGAGCACAAGTTTCTGAGTGTCTTTGGTTCCTCTGCTCTTGGGTCCTTAATTAAAGGAAGGCTATAAAAAAATCAGATGGTCTTATTCTGCTCATTGCCCAAAATGGGTAAACAGAGGCATTTGGAGTAAGGAAACTTGCCCAATGTTTCGCCCTGCCCGGGAATCGAACCCAGGTCCTCTTGTTTGCCAGGTGAGCGCTCTAACCAATATGCTACAGGAATGGGTGGGGTGCAGATGGAGAGGGGGCCACAGATGGAGGGGAGAAGAGAAAAAATCCCATAGGATTCACAAATTGCTGGTAAATATGAAATGCTGGACATCAATGCTTCACCCTATCCCTTGTGAGCTCAGCTCTGATGATTCAGCTTGTGTTGTGGAGTCGAGGTCTTGCCATTGAGCTACTGTTTGTTTCTTTGTTTATCAAACAATTTCTGGCCCATCTCCAACCTCCCTTTTTCTTTCCAAGGTCCTTGAAAGAGTCGTTGCTTCCCAGCTTCGCACCTTCTTCTCCTACCACTCCCTTCACGAGCCAGTCCAATTGGGTTTCCGTGCTGCTCATAGCACGGAAACTGCTCTGGTCAAGGTCACAAATGGCATCCTGTCCTTCTGTGACCAGGGCTCCCTCTGCCTCCTGGCCCTTTTCGACTTCTCTGCTGCCTTCAAATATCGTGGATATTTTCACATATATTCTCCATTCTCCTCCACTGCCTCTCCTCTTACCTCAACCTTCAATAGTCCTTAAATAGTTCAGGTCTTATCTCTCACACCATCTCCAATTTGTCTCCACCAACGGTTTCTCTTCCAGCCCCCGCAGAGGCTCGTGCAGTGTTCCTCAAGGCTCTGTCCTTGGTCCCCTCCTCTTCAACCTCTACATGCTCCTTCATGATGACATCATCCGCATACATGGGGTCACCTTCCACATGTACGTGGATGACACCCAACTCTATCTCTCTGCCTCCATCCTCGATTCCAGGACAGCTGACATCCTGACAGACTCTCTGTCTGACAAGATCTGGATGAGAGCCAACTTTCTACAGCTCAATGTCAGCAAGACCGAGACCCTCCTGATTGGCTGGCACCAGTACCTCTGCACCTCAGGCGCTGGCAGCATCAGCATCTATGGATGCACACTTCACCAAGCCAGTCAGGAACCTGGGCGTCTTGTTCGACCTTCAACTGTCCTTTCTTCCCCGCATCCATCCATGACCCGCAATATTGCCACTGTCTCACCCCTCAGGTCGCCGAAACCCTCATACACGCATTCATCACCTCAAGGCTCAACTACGGAAACTCCCTCCATGTCGGCCTCCCCAACTTTTCCTTCCACAAGCTGCAGATCAACCAGATCTCTGCAGCTCGTGTCATCTCCTGCACCAGGCTCCGTGACCCCATCAACCCTACCCTCGCCCGGCGCCACTGGCTCCCCATCCCTCAGAGGATAGAATTCAAAATCCTCGTCCTCACTTTCCAGGCCCTCCATAGCCTTGCCCCCTCCTACTTCTCTGACCTGCTGACCCCTTATCAACCTGTCCTCTCCCTCCATTCAGCGGGATCCAGCCTGCTCCATGTTTTCCGCCCAACCAACCCTACCATCGGCGGCCGGGCTTTCAGCCTTTCTGGCCCCACCCTTCACCTTGCTCCCTCTCTTGCCTCCTTCCAGACACGACTCAAGACCCTCCTTTTTGACCGTGACTTCAGCTGCCCCCCCCCCACCCCATCTCTCTGCCCTCCCTCCTCCCAACCCTACCCCCCACAATTGGTCCTGATCCCTGACTGTTCAGCGCCTTGGGACATCTTCCCGATGCGAAGGCGCTTTACAAATGTAATTTTGTCATTGTTGTTGTTGAACTGACGATTAAATGGCCTTTTTTTTTTAACAGCATTCATTAATGAGCAAGCAAACTGAATGACCAAACAGTCATAAAAGGAATACAACTTTAATGAGATTTTTTTTCGTGAAATTTCTGTGCAAAATCTCCGGCTGGTCTCAAAGGACAAATATACTCCCACACCTAGCTCTATCTCTCATACCATGTGTGGGCGGCACACGTATGTCTGATCTGGATACTCCTAAGCAAGGCGATGGGTTCTCACGTGTGTCAGACACTCAGAGAAAATCTCTCATTACATCCTGCAGGTAATTTCTTCACCAAATTCCCTATCTTATTATTCCCTATCTTATTCGCTCTTGGATATTCTAATACAATCTGTCACCTCCGCTTCTCTGGGGTCCTGCTCTACTCTAAATTATATAATAATCCTTGCTTTTAATACGCTGTATTATCATATCATTCCGACATCTCAAAGTGCTTCACAGGATATAATAATAATAATGCTTGTATTTGATATAGCACCTTATCACGTCATTGAGACATCGTGACTCTATTTTATGGGAGAAATGCAGTTGCGCACAACAGTGTCCGGCAAACAGTCGTGGATTGAGTGATCAAACTTTTATTTTTTTCGGAAGAGATTACTACCCCCAGAAAAGTGATCCGTCATTCGACCAGCAACCGGGTTCCTACTTGCTGCAGGTAAACAGAGGTGTGTGGAGTAAGGAAACTTGCATAGAATTTTGTCCTGTAAATAAATAAGATGGTAATTAAAATGGGGGGAAGAGGAGAGGAGGAGGAAATTAAACCATTTTGTTTTGAAATCTTGGATTCGTTCTTCTGAACGGACCGATGTTGGAATGCAGATGGCAGTCCAGGGGATGGAGTGTTAGTGTTCGGCAAAGTGCTCTGTTAAACTTGAGAGCCACGCTGCACGCTGGAGGAATCCCAGATTAATACTGCGCCAATGAAAATTTCATCTATTAATATTCTGGTGGAAAAGTGAGCGAGGAAACAAGGAGCCATAGCTAAAACGCTGCCACACAAATGCTGGTGAGTGATTATACTCGTAACAGAGCAGCTGCGGAGAGCTGGTGTGTAAGGCTCCCAAATAGCTCACAGCCTTATGGTTAGGATCGCAAGACTGCTTTGGATGAAGAAGGCCATTTGGCCCAACCGATCTCGTCCCTACACAGCATCCTCCCTTCCTGGTTGGGTATGTGTAGCAGTGGGTGTTCCAGTGGGCAATGGGTGTTCAGCTTCAAAAGGATGTAGAAGATTAAATGGCAACAACAACAATTCGCACTTTTACACATAGAACGACGTCTTCAAGTGCTTCGCAGAGCTGCTGTGGAAATACAGAGCAAGTCACTACACTTCACAGTATCCCCTGTGAAGCGCTTTGATACATCCCGATGTGAAAGCTGCTTTCTGTATCAATATGCAATGATTATTTATTTATATAAGGGAGGTGATCGAAAGCCCCGTTTGAAAAGGTAATTTTATCTGATAATAATTATAAATAATAATAATAATCCTTGCATTTGATGCAGCATGTGGTCGAGACATTTCAAAGCGCTTCAAAGGATTTTCCTTTTAAAGAGGGGTGACTGGGCCTTTGCAGACGAACAAGGCAGTGGGAAGCGCTTCGAAACATTGCAACCACACGATAAGGCGCTGTTTTGAAGTGAGAGGCTCAGATCATTACTATAATTTGCCTCAGGCAGAGAGAAGGCATCTTTTGGCTGTAGGTTTGATCTTGAAAAGATAAGCCTTGTGCAGGCTAAGAGATTGAAAGAGCCTT